TTAAAGTTCCACTAGTAGCTAAAACTTCAAGTTACTAAGTCTAGTAGTAGTGCTGAACTTCAATGTTTTCCACTGGAAACTGGCTAGTTCTGTCAGTGATTGGAAGCTGTGTGAAGTATATGTCTATGCATGTATGTCTGTTATGATATACACACTGTGAGCTATTGTCTGAAATTGTGTAAAATAGCATTGTCTGTTGGGAAAATTGTAGTTTGTTGATGTAGCAGTACTTTTGCAGATGCAATCTTATAAATCATCAGTCACATTTAGACTGCAAAAATCAGATCACTTGTCAAGTCTCAACATCCAAGACAGTGAGGATCCTGAAGGACTTTGTGTATTTATTACCTTGTACAAGACTTGAAGGTATGTTTTTGCTTACTTTGCCTCTCACCATCTTACAGCTATGTATTTAGTGGTGTTTTTTAACAAAAAAAAACCTTGTTTATTGTCCATTGGGATGAAGCCCTATGTTAGACAGTATGTACAAGTATTGGTAACTGCATATTTTGTAATCATAGTATGTGACTGTAACAATGGTCCAAGTGTGAATTAGGACAGTAACACCTGCTAAGGGCAGAAGATTGTGGTAGTCATGACTTTCCAATGTATCCACTCAGTGTCTAATATAATATTCTCCCTCATTTCTCTTGGGCTCAAGATCAAGCCTATTTCTAGTGACTTCATTCATATCTCTTGGGCCAGGTCCAACTGACACACCATCACCACCACAAATATTTGTTTAAATCACTTTACAAATCTTTTCTCAATGAATGGTGCTGTCTGACATGGGTAGACTGTATCTAAGCTCAATGTACCAGAACCAGAACCACCAAACCTCCAAGCTGTATCACTCTTGGCTGCTGTATTAATGCTTGCAACTGGCAGCAATGTTGCAGGTTAGTTCTACACCTCAAATACACTCCCAATAGTCAACATTGTAAAAAGGTATCCAAACAGCACCATCAGTTACATATCTTCCACTATCTCCTGCATGAATCTCTTCTGAATAGTAGCATAGTGCTGCATCTCTACTGCACTAACACTAGGGACTAGCTCATTCAGGGCACGAATGAAGTCCATCTGGGTAACCAAAATGTGCAAGTCATCCGATCTGGCAATTTCAGTGAGATAGTACTGGGGTGTCAGTTGGTGCTGTCGAAATTCTGACTGTTTGTTGAGTTGTGCTGTTCAGTGTGTCGTCAGAATGCATGACAAATCGTGTGTTTCAACAAACCTATTTTGCTATCCAGCTCAGTAACCTTCCTGTTTAGTGCATTTAACATTGCATCAGAGCATAAAGCATAAAAGTCGGCTCCCGTGTAGTGGAACGGACACTCTTTAGCAATGTCCGCGAGGCTGAGATCACGATCGAGCTTGAATTTTCTTGTGAGCGCACGAAGGATATCAAGTTGAGTTTCGTTTGTCTCGCTGACCCCCAGGTATAACATTCGGTCAAACCTGAGCAACGAATGTAAGGCTGATTATGCAAAAGAATATTACCTCAAACCTTCCAGGTCGCAAAAGAGCCGGGTCTAATAGGTCGGGGCGATTGGTAGCTCCGATGACGAAGACATCGCCTCCACTTCCAGCGGACATTCCATCCAGTTCTGCAAGAAGCTGACTTACGATACGGTCCATAACACCACCTGAATCCCCTTGATTGCCTCGCTTTGGCGCCACAGAGTCAAGCTCATCGAAGAAAATGACGCATGGTTTTGCATCACGAGCACGTTGAAATATTCGCCGAACATTCGCTTCAGACTCTCCGATATACATGTTCAGAAGTTCGGGTCCTTTCACTGAAAAGAAGTTCAACGAGCACGAAGTTGCCACTGCCTTCGCGAGCAGCGTTTTTCCCGTGCCCGGAGGTCCATATAATAAGATTCCTGGGTGTGACACCTAATTCAGCACCAGGGTAGCTAGACTAGAAAATAGGTGTACCTGAACGCTTCTTTAATCCCTCGATGAATAATTCAGGGTGCTCCAATGGAAGTTGGATGGTGTCCAATATTTCATTCTTTATTCTCGACAGTCCACCGATATCCTCCCACATGACGGCAGGGATCTTCGGAGCCCCAATGTTTCGAGCGAAAGTTGTCCTCGCCTTCAAAAGCGACAATTCCACCTGATTTGCTCGAATAGCTATCGTACTTAGGGACCGTGCTCGACAAGCAATTTCGTCACTGCAAACATCGTGATCAGCGAGGTTATTAACTCGACAAGCTCACACCGCACAGTGACTCTCTAACAGCAATAACCTCCGCTTGTGTCAAACAATCGACTATATCAATGGCAACTAGTGCAGCAGTCTGCGTAGCAAAAGAAGCCACTGAAACATCAGAAGCCAGTTTAACATCAGTCATGCAATGATATATTATACTCGATCGTTCTGCCTCGGTTGGAGCCTGTAAGAGGTACAACGAATGTTACTCAGAGCGTTTGTGTGGGGAATCAATAGCGGCCCCACCTTTAGCGCAAACTCGTTTGTGAAGCGCGAGAGGAGGGTAGCAGAGACCTTGGATGTGTCACTCGCAGTTGCGATAACGAAGATCTGATTGCCCGTGGATTGCATATGGGATTCTACATCCGCTAGGCAATCGTTCAACGCATGTGACAATGTAGTACCTATGAGATTATTAAGAAGGTGATATCGCACTAGGAAAGATGTTTGCACACCTTTTCCCGGTTCCGAAGCTGGAGTAGACTGGGACAGCGCGTCTAGGTGCCGAATCACAATTGCGCACGGCGCGCATGAACTTGCCATTTCAATTCGAGCTCTTAAGCTGCCTTCTGTATTGGCCTCGTTTTCCGAAATTAACGCAAAACAGTTAATCTATCGATGAGATGAATAAATTTCGTGAAGGACGAGTTCAGTAATTGATCGTACTTCTGCAATATGGATTCCAAGGCGTCGGGCTATAGAAGAGGCCATTGTGAATTTGCCGGATCCTCGAGCTCCTGAAATAAGCAGAAGTGGCCAGATGCCGAACTCCGCAGCTCCTTTAAACCGAGGTGCGTCTGACAAACGAGTCATTGCATCCATCATAAAAGGTAATTCCCCTGGTCTGGCACTAGTATCTGCTACTCGCTTGTCAACGACACGCCACTCAACGCTGCGAAAGCTAAATTCCTCACGAAGGGCATTGCAGCTGTGTATGTCTAGTGAGCCTTTATGTTGTGTTCCAAGCTGTACGATCCGAGTGCGCTGGGAGTCGACAAAACAGCCGTAGTCGCCTCGAGTAAACTGAGGATGACTACAATAGTCATCAACAGCACTGGTAGGGTCGTAGTCAACTTTGTCCACGACGAAGGACACCACTACATTACCGCTCGACAGCCTGGTGCCAAAATGAGGCAGGCTGCGGATATTTTCTGCAAATTAAGCTCACCGATGGATTGGGAGCTTGCCATTGTCGAGCTTATCAGTAAGCTCTGCGTTGTCGGTATCAATGAACACGTTGATTAAATCTCCTGATTTGACCAAGCGTTTACAGGAACTGAAGTAGGATTGTATTTCTTGAAGAAAAAGAGTCTCGAACTTGCGTCCTGTAGAAAACGGAGATGCGATGCGAGAGAGAGTAAGTGCACGAGCCACTGGTATTGCCGGTTGACGATTGCCAAAAGGACTCGGGCGAATCCACACAAGACTAGAAGAGTCTACATGGATGCTGGAAATCAGCGACGGCGAAGCTTTCACAACACCACTAAAGATCCCTTCAGATTGGAATAAGATCACATATCAAAACCGTACGAAGGGACTGATTCATAATCATGCGCAAACACCCGCACTAGCCTTGCGTGGGATGACTCGAGATCACTCACGATAGCCTGAGCACAGCAAGTTTAGTTTCGCGCAAAATAAGGCAAACAACGTACCCAGTCTCCATCGAGGATACCAACCCGACGAAAATCAGAGGTTCGCAGGTACAGAGCGATATCACGATTAAGGACATCAGTCTCTCGCGAAATTGGTTCAAGACGAAAATAAGCGTTCGCTGTGGCGGCTGCAATATTCAGGTACGTTAACAGGACATTCAAACTGGCAGACACACACTCGCCTTCATAGGGACCATTATGTTGCGCGGTTGCTGGAAGTGCAGCAGTGATGAGAAAAGATTCGCTGATCTCGAGTGGCTCCGAAGCTATCTCAGCTTCAGATGAGTATATGCCAATAGTCGATGTGCCTCCTCCGATTTCTGCTCCTTCGTCGAAACAGACCACCACAAACTGCGTGACATTGCGCTCCATAATCCCTTGAGAGTATGGATATGTAACATCAATTTTGTAGCGATACGAGCAGAGCGCCGAGGACAACGCTTCAGAAGCGTCCCCATTTGAGAGAAACAACGTTCGGGGAAGGTGTAATTCTTCACCAGTTCGAATGATCAGCGACGAGTGGAAAAGCCATTCCTCAAGGGCAGAACTGTGGGACAATGCAAAACTGTATGCATCGGGAGTTTGAGCTGTCACTACCACTTCGGAGAGTGAGACGTCTCCTGCACGGGACACGTGTAGTTTCTGTCGGCCATTAAATGATCCGAAAATATGAGGATACAGGTCTGGCCAGTGAGGTGGAACTGTAATGCATTCGATCTTGTGACAATGATTAGGTGGAACAAAACACGTCCATATTTAATGGACGCACATCAGGATCCTCATTCGCCCAACAAGTCAGGCATTCCAAGCCTTGGGATGTCAAGAAGGGTGCGGTTGAGTCGTCCGAATATATTAGGATGAGAACACGGGAATCGTGCGGTGCAGACAAATATGTCCACAATCGGGAGCTCAGGAGCACGGTATCGTTACCAGCCTTGTCTGGAGGATCTTTGAGAGTGAATTCGCCTTCTACGCTGAGCGAGTGACGAAAAAATATGCTCATTGAATTCGAAAGATATTGCCTTCGTCGGCCAGTGTTCTAAAGGCTGGATGCGACAAACGCGAAATCGTATGTATGCATATGCCAAGCATACAACTGCAGTAAGTCTACCAGTCTGGCCAGTGGCAGCACTGTGAATTACTCACGCAAACGAACTGCTAGCCGCTTACATAATCACATTGTTTTTATTCCTCGCAACACCATGAATCGAGGAGCAAGAGGTTTTAGCAGAGGAGGTACGCGTATAATTCTTATTGAGAGTCCAATTTGGCTCATCTTCTAGGACGCGGTGGGGGACGTGGAGGATTCCAGCAGCGTGATTTTGGTCCTCCAGCTACAGTTGTCGGTAAGATTATTATTATCTTTACAATTTCGCGTCACTATTTTCACCGTTTGCAGAAATGGGGACATTCATGCATGCTGTAGAGGATGAGATGTTGTGCTCCTCTCTCATATCAGACAGGGTTCCCTACTTCAACGCCCCCATTTACCTCCAAAACAAATCTGTGATTGGCAAGGTTGACGAGATCCTTGGCCCTATCAATGAAGTTTATTTCTCAGTCAAAATGGGAGAAGGTATGGTTGCAAGCAGCTTCAAGCAAGGAGATAAAGTATATATCGGAGGCGATAAATTGCTACCCATTGAGCGATTCCTCCCAAAACCAAAAGTTGCAGGTATGCTCTATTCTATTGGTCTTTCTACTTCTACACCTGAGCTTTATTTCTCTAGGTGTAACAAGTACGTTTTCTCCTCTCGCATATATGCTTCCCATTCACTGTAGATCATCTCCAGAACGCGGGCGCGGTATCGCAAGGGGCAGTGGGCCACGGGGACGGGGTGCCCCTGGGGGACGAGGACGGGGAGGACGAGGGGCTAGCAGGGGTGGCGTAAGAGGTGGCTTCGGTGGTGACCGGGGCGGTTAGGTTCAGAGGAGGTTTCAGAGGAGGAAGTGGCCGTGGTAATAGTGGAGGTTTTGCACCCCGAGGGGGAAGAGGCGGATTCAGGGGATCATGATAATAGTGCTTAGTATTGTTAGTCCCAGCGTGCGTCACGTCGTGAGGGCGCAGATGTCAAGGTTTTAGTGCTTTGACCTCGCTCGAAACAGCAGTAAATCTGTTTGCCCGCTCGTACTGCATGGAAATAGACTGCCGAGATCATGAGGTACATTGAATTAGATGTTAGAAGAACCCTACCTGAGAAAGCTGAGCCGACATAGTAACAGCATTCACAAAAGTTTCTTCCATCGCAGGATCAAGTTGGCTGCCTATTGGTCAGTTAGATGTGTTCCCCCATTCGATGTCTTCACGTACCATCCAGATCTGAAAGATATGATTCCTGATTCGCATCGACATCCATGCCAACACTATGATGCTGAACGCAAACCCCCTGAACCAGAGCTTCGATTTCGGTGGGACGTATCCGGCGGCGACCTCCGATTTCCCTATCCCACTTTAGTCGCTGATCGGAAAGCGACCAAATATGTCGATCAAGAGCCTCGTCAAAAGGCTCCATCTCTACTATTCATGAGCAAAATTAATTCCCTGTCAAGCATGTACCCTTCACCTTCGTCGTTGTCGTCGTATGGCTCTTCGGTGGTGCGTCCGTTAATACGGAGATTTGGTCTAGTTATCGCAAAAAGTGTGTCGAGGAACTAACAGATTTCAGAATATTGTGTTTGGATGAAAGATACTTTGCTCACTTGATTTATGTGAGGCAGAAATGATTCCCTGTCTTGGCTGACGCCCTGAGATTCAAGTTCCAAGTCCAATCTATCAAGGAAAGCGGTTGAGATATTTCGCTGAAGACGTCGCCAGTCCTGTTCTGTCTCCACTGATATTTTAGGTAGATCTTCTCGGGCATCCATTTGCAAAGGAAGGAAGTAACGATTAATGGTGATAACAACAAATGTTAATGCAGCGCGTTATTGGCGGTTATTTGTACATTGCGTGCAAAGCCTTTGAATCCAAACAACCATCTATCGTTATACTTACTAATTCACACTCCATGTCCACCTTGACGTTCTGGAAGCCAGGAACTGCTGGACCTGGAAGCACACTTGACAGGGCAACAGAGGAGGAAGGAAATGTGGTTCAATCTGCGCCTTCACATGGCTCCCTTTCTATACAAGCGCAGCGTGAACGACTGCCCATTTGGCAACACCGTATGTTCACTCACTGTCGTTGTCTTCTAAGCACTACCCAACTCTGTTTTACAGGACAAAAACTTTTGCATTGCATAGAACAGTATGGTGTCACAATCGTTGTCGGTCAAACAGGGTCAGGAAAAACAACTCGTGAGCAATCATCAAATTTCACGGATAATCTCAGTTCCATCTCACTCCAGGTTGAGAACTACCCCAGTATCTCCTAGAATCTGGATGGGCGTCCGAATGCAATGTGATTGTCTGCACCCAACCACGACGCGTCGCGGCAACGTCTGTCGCTATCAGAGTTGCAGCAGAAGTCGGTACCCTTCTTGGGGATGAGGTACACCACTAAGCTGATGTGCCTCTGCACTCTACATCGCTCACGAACATTCCCATAGGTTGGATATACTATTCGCTTCGAAGACGTCAGTGACAAGGAGCGAACCCGAATATGCTACATGACTGATGGCATGCTCTTTCGAGAGACGTTGATCGATCCTCTCCTCTCGCGCTACAGCGTCATTATGGTTAGTACTGCATTATTCTTGTCGACATATGCTCAGTGGGTTGCCAGATTGACGAGGCGCACGAGCGAAGTCTTTACACAGATTTACTTCTGGGTGTCTTGAAGAAGTCTGTCAAACATACTTTAATCTTTCCCCTTGGCTACTTAGCTAAGATGGTGCAACAGAATCAGGCGTAAGCGCCCATCGCTTCGGCTGATAGTGTCATCAGCTACTTTGGATGCTAGATCATTCTTAGAATACTTCACTTCGGGGACGCATCCAGATGACGCCACTATTGTTAGTCTGGAAGGGCGCATGTTTCCTGTTGAAGTTGCTTACCTTCAAGAGTCCGCTCCAGACTATGTGAGGAAGGCAGTGGAGGTTGCATGGAACATTAACCTGCAGGTGCGTCCCCTGGACCTTCTTTCCCTTTGCCTCATCACTCCCCATTACGCAGCACGGCGCTGGTGACATTTTGATATTCCTGACGGGACGTGAAGAAATAGAAAGATGCTTAGAGGAACTCGCAGAACTTCTTCCTACGTGCGCATTCTGTTTCCTTGTGTATTTTCCCATGCTCTGCAAACTCTGATGCTTTCTAGACTTCCGCGAGGAGCCACACAGATAATTCCTCTTGCTCTGCACGCTGGCCTAAGCACGGAAGAACAGCTCAGGGTTTTCAATATTGCGGAACGAGGGACGCGAAAGGTTATTGCCGCCACAAACATCGCGGAAGTGAGTCGCGCTATTTTGGGCAACTTGGTGTCTTATGATACATTTAGGCCAGCGTCACCATCGATGGAGTGAAATTTGTTGTCGACAGTGGGTTCGTAAAGGTAAGTTTCATTACCTTATTGATCTCGTTCTCTCATGGGCGTCAGATACGGACGTACAATCCAACCACTTTCCTTGCCTCACTGTTGACAGTCCCTGTTTCCCAAGCATCTGCCATACAGAGGGCTGGTCGCGCCGGACGGACCTCACCAGGAATTTGCTATCGATTATACCCTAATTCCGTTTTCGCTTCTCTTCCTACAAGCACACCGCCTGAGATCACGCGCACTGATATGACCACTCCAATTCTGCAACTAAAGTCCCTAGGTATAGATGACCTTATGAAGTTTGAATGGGTCTCCGCACCTCCAGCAGAAAGCATTCTCCGTGCGCTCGAGGGGCTCTTTGCTGCAGGAATGATTGGCGACGATGGCCTCCTCACTCCAATCGGCGAGCGAGTTGCAGAATGCCCCATCGAGGTCAATATAGCGAGAATGGTGCGCCTTTCTATCAGTATTGACTTTTGTTGCATGGCTTGATGCACATGCAGCTTTTCACCTCGAAGGACTTCAATTGCGGTGAAGAAATTCTCACAATTGCTGCCATGATTTCAATACAAGTGAGTGCCTCATTAGACTAACGTTCCCATCGTATTTACCTGTTTATATCATAGGATGCCTTTGTTATACCTGATGGTGCTCCCGGAGCGATTGCCGAACTGGAGAGACGAAAATTTACAGCCGAGGAAGGGGTATGATCCATCCTGGCTCGCCTCAATTCAGCAGACTGACAATATTGGTATCAGGATCATCTGACCCTTTTAAATGGTATTTGCTTGCTACACCCGAAAGTTGACTGCTTACGTTCGGTAGCATATAATGCTTTCACTAAATACGGTCGATCTTCATCATGGTGTAAAGCTCATGCTCTCAACTTCCGCGCCATGTCAAGAGCGGTGTCGATTCGGTCCCAGTTGAAGAAATACATGATTCGCTTCAATTTACCACTCCAGAGCTGCGAAGGTGATGCTAAGCGGCTTCGGCAATGTTTGGTCAGTGGGTATTGGCGCAACGGTGCCCGATGGGTTGCAGATGGAACGTACCGGTCGGTGAAGGGAAACAAAGTAAGCAATACTGCTGAATGTACGACATCCATCGTTGTTCACTCAAGCAGACTCTATATGTTCACCCAACATCTGTGCTTTTCACTCGGAAGTCGCGGACTGGATGGGTGGTCTTCCACGAAGTGGAAGAAACCAAAAAGACGCAGTATGTCTACCTACTTGTCTGGTGTGCCGTAAACTTGATTTTTGTTAGGATAAGAATACTCTCAGAAATCGAACCAGACTGGTGAGTCGATTTTCTCCTCTGGAACTCCATTCGCTCAACTGGTGAAGGCTACTCGATTACGGTCATAAATACCAACATAGGCATGCTGCGGGTTAATTTGATATGGACGGGACTTGGTTCTGGTGGTCGGTCAATGTTGTCGTTTCACTGTCAACCTTGTGCAGATTTTGCCTGGAATATGGCGACGTTGTGCCCGTGTTGTGAGGTAGCATTGAGGGTGCCGCGCTGGCAAGAGGTCACTGGAGCTATCGATAGAAATACATTGGAAATATACATCCGTTAGTAAAGCTTGCCGAGCTCCCCCGAGTTAAAAGTCCGAAACGCCATAGAAAGTTAAGCGCTAATACTACTGAAATATCGTGAAAGCCTTTCCAATCATGGGCGCTGGCCAGTCCAAAGCGGACACAGAAGAAAAAGTCTTTTACAACGAGACGCCCATACAGGTTTGGTCTTCTTCCTATTCTAAAGGCTAGTTTCCTGAAGTTGTGTGTAATGTCAAGTTCTCGCAGGATGTCGTGAACCACCTCTCAGATCACTCAATGTCACCCGACACCTCGCCAGAACGGCAATCCACACTCGATACCCACGTACGTGCTCGTATACAAGCGGAGCTGCAACATCTACAAGCGGAAGAAGAAAGTGTACAGAAGGAAATTGAACTCGCTCTTGAGAGAGAGAACATTGACAGGGAGATGTCCTCGGCAGGCGGAGAACCTTCAGACGAGGTCGCTGAGGGTGATGTCAAGAATAGCATGACGTTGATGGGAGATCTTGAAGAGATTCGTACCAAGGTCGACAGGTTCCAGGCCAGGAAGCAGCTCAGTGATTATCCTGCGGTCAAGGAAAGCGGCGAAGCAGTTGTGTTATGCTATAGGTGAGCCTATCTCACTTGTTCATGCCGTCCTGAGATCACTCATTTGTCGCTTCCACAGACAAAATCCCACCGCGCCCCTGGACTGCTGGCGAGAAGTGAGGGAGTTTAACGCTAGTGTAGCTCAAGCGGAATCGGTAGGCAAACTGTTCCTGGCATTCGGTTCTCAACTTACTGTCCCGCATGCACCTGCCAGCAACATCTCGCTTCTCTTCGGTAGGCACCATCAAGAGCCAAGACCCACTACCATACTTGTAGCATGGTCCATGACGTGTTTCATGGGAGAGTTTAGTAGTGTGTGAATCCTATGCTATGGATAGTACATTGATTTCATGGTCCAATCATTCGCCCTCTGGAAATAGCCCCCCAGCCGTGAGCCTTTCATGGTCCGATATCACGATTCTTCACCACCATATGCCACTCCAATCGAATCTGTTGTTAGTGCCCCCTGCTGAAGGCCCAATGACCCAGCACTGATATTGGACACCCGATGTAATTGGGTGACATGTGCATCGATGTGCGCAGAGTCCCGCAGGCTTGAGCTAGGAACTACCACCTCAGTCTGCTCTTCACCAATGGTGTAGGGCTCGGAGCTATGACCAAGTCTTGAAAGGTGTCTAGTGCCACCTAAAGCTGCTGTTATGACAGCTGCGGGCACGCGTACTTGTTGTTCCTCATCAGTCTCGGTAGAATACATCGAAGCAGTGCTGATAGTTGATTTATAAGACAACCTGTTCGAAGCCCGGGCCAATGATGCCCTGCTTCCACGCGCGAGGCTCTCCTTGAATTGGCCCGAAGGACGTCGCAGAGCACGAGCTGGATTCCGCGGGGGTTTTAATGGAGGCGCTGGCAACAGGGCAACCATGTTTAAGGGAGGCTGAACGGGAGTTGTGTGGGGTGATGTAGTGCCTATTGTGTTTGGCGATGAATCTGCAAAACTCTTTTTCCCGTATGAGCACCCAGTACCATCCGAACTGCTCGAGGGGCCATCGCCTTCCTCGTTTGGTTTGTTTGGAGTAGCTCTGTCATGTCTCTTGAGAACATTTCGCTATTGAACACAATGAATGACAAAGATATTAAAGTTGAGATTTACATGGTACATACCCTTCGCCAGCGGCACTTTTTGTTCGGTTGTCTAACGATCGATGACCACCATTTCCATCCCACCACCACTGCCACTGCAAGCGCTATTCCCGCGGCAGTACCGCCGACGGCTGCTGGGATGGAGATTGCTGCAGCGTGTTCGGTGCTTGTCGTAGGCGTTGCTGTGCTGGAATCCGTTGAAATTGTTACCTCGCCAATGATGCTGGAAGTGAGGTGAATAGCCACGTTGACATTACCAGTGAGTGAAGGCATGGCGAAGGGAACCGAGGATTGTTATCGACTGAACATACCGTCCTTGTATACGCCGTAGGCAAGGCACTACAAAGGGCCATGCCACGCAAGGTCACGTTCGCGAAGAATAGGTGCATAAACGTGTTAGGCACGAGGTGTCCCTGACGTCAATACTCCAAATCCAGCTGCTAGTTGCAACACCGATTGTCATTCAGTAAGATCGTCCGCGACCTACGCAGTGAGAACCCTGAGGAGACTATTTGTACTCTGTGCCATGCAATGTCATGGTGGCCCGATCCTGCGCCAAAGGCTCTGGTGAAATGATAGGGGATGGAAAGGCGCTTACGGCACTTCGAACAAAACAGTTTACCAGTTGACAGTCTAAGATTCTAGTCATAGTGCACATCAAACACTGGCTCGGGACAATACCTGATAATATTTTTAGTGCGTGGCCATCATGCAGCGGCATGCACGGCTCGGTCGCGGCTGCAGTGATATCATCGAGAGCTGAGGAAAAACAGTTATTTATGTAATCTAAAGTCGAAATCAATCAAATTATTTCGGGGAAACAGTGATGATTGGACACAGGTCTGGGCGTAGTTCCCCCGCAATAAGTAGTATCTGACCCAACGGGCAGAAGGAACTCCAATAAAAATAACCTGGCGCGAGTCGGAGTTTTATTTGAGCCGCTGTACAGTCGTGTTGGAGTTGCGTTGGTCGTTATTTTGAGAGTCGCCCAATTGCTAGTGCCAATGAGTACTGCCTTAATGTGCACGCTGTCTCGGCTTGATATCCCTAGAGCCTAGAGGTTGATGACTTACTGCAAGGTGACTGCAGGTTGTAACAGTTAATTTCGGTCAACCAAAAATAACCAATAGTCCGGAGGGAGCGTACCTGTACCTAAGCTCGGCAACCTGCGTTCATTGAATTCCCTCCCTTCTCGGATGTTGGGATAAGGCGATACATGAGGATAACGCCTAGATACCCGTGAGTAGATACGGCAAATTCAACTGTCAGATATCCCTAGGTAAAAAATCTAAATTTCAAGACAGTTTGTGATATATATATACTTGACCATAGCTAATGGCCCTACTAGAGTAACTATCGGGACTGGTCCATCTTATGTAAATTAATTATCCGCTTTGTTCTGTATTTTCTGGTTTTCTATAATAATCGGACATTTTTATGATTGCCGCGTTCGGCAATTCGACTTCTTTCTGCCGCCCGGCTTTATTTGCAACAGATCCCACTGCGACTGTGCCCTTCCCCATCTCTCTCCGCCTCATCGATATCGCAGCGTACTACCACTTCAAGTTGCTCATCCTCCTACCCCCATTGTTCTGTCTTCCCCTATATCGTCTGTGGAAGCATCTCGTCCTCCTTACTAGTTTAACATCTCTAGTACACCTTAATTTCAGTCTAAATTAACCGGCCTTCCCCGGTCGATAAAGAGACGCCGAGTCACCGTTGACGTTGATAACCGTATCGACCTCAAGTAGGAATGCAAGGCACTTCAGAGTTTGTAGACGAGCAGTCAAGAGCAGCGTAAGACCTTCTATGACGGCAATCTTGTCAATCAAGAATGTTTACCAAGCCTCATTCCAGTTCAAAAGCGCCTATCGTGCGCAATCCAAGAGCATGCACCGTTTGTCGGGCAGCGAAGGTGGGTAGTCGACTCATCGAGAGAAAGAAATCACCTGACTTCTTGATAGATGAAATGCGTCGGGGCAGAGGACGGTCTTAAGTCTTGCCAAAGGTGCAAAAGAACAGGTGTAGAGTAAGTCATGAATTGTTCCAATAGTCCACCAAGACGTTAATCCCTTTTTGTAAGTTGTGTCTTTGAGAAACATCGCAGAGGGCGCAAACCTGGATCAAAGTCAGAATATTTCCCTTGCTTTGCTTACTGCCTCTCACAAGGTCCCAAGGCTATCTGAAGCGTCTAAAATGCTCCGACGCTTAGAGAAAGGATTAAACACAGCGAAACTCAAACAAAGTGATTCATCGTTGTCGACAGTATTCCCTGCCGATCCCCGTACTCCTCAGGCAGAAAACACTCAGTTTGGCGGACTCCAGTCCTCTGACGCTTATGGTTCCGCTGGTAATTTATTTTGTGCTACGAGAGTACAAAATGTGACTCAAAATACGTTATCATAGACGGATATGCGGCTTCAAGCGTCAGTTCACGCACTGTTGATCCAGAGGAGGAAGAGGACGGGGAAAGGAGCGACGAGAAATTCCCTGCCAAATTAATTAGAAGGGAAAACTCCTTTTTCAGGACCATCCTCAACCCAGAACACAAGTCGCCAATGCTCCATGTGCCTCGAAATCCTTACCTCCCACAGTCATTGCGTCCGGCGCCTCTCCCGTTCGGCTGCAGTGATCCAATCACAGCCGGCTTAATCAACGAAAACAAAGCAAAGATCCTCTTTGACGCCATCTTCCTTCGACTGAATCCATTTATTAATCTTTTCGATCCAGCTCTGCATTCTGTCGCCTATGTGCGATCTAAATGCCCTTTGTTATTTACTACCTTGATAATGGCTGGCTGCAAATTCTTCGAACCAAGCTTATACAAGGAGTGTCTGAAGCTTGCTAATGACCTTGCAGTCCGGGCATTTGCAGAAGGTTGGAAACGAGTAGAAGTTATTCAAGCATTTGCGTGCCTTACTTATTGGAGAGAACAAGAGGACAACGTGAGTGTGTTTTGGACCTGTCTCAACTTAAGCTGAATCTCATCGAAGCGGACATGGATGTATATTGGATATGTAAGCGCGCCAGAGTTCATCGATCTCGACAAATTAATTGCCGGATTTTTTCAGGCTTGTCGAATGGCTGTGGAACTTGGCCTCAACCGATATCATGCAAAACCTCCTGCTCACGAAAACGATTTCCAGCTTCGTGAAAGGCGGAACAGAGAGAGGACATACCTCGTCCTCTTTGTGCATGACCGAAGTCTCAGCATGCAGACGGGTCGGCATTGGATGCTCCCTGAAGTAAAGCATTTTTATTCTCCCAAGATGACGGTTCACACTCGCTGCAGGATGACTTTATAAGGCACTCTGAAACCTGGCATGAGCAGGGTGGGTCCCCCATTCGATGCGAAGATGTCATCGTTTCTGCTTTCACGCAACTCCGTCGTATAGCGGTGAGACCCTTTCCTTAACAACTGCGTGATAGAATCCAATCGTATTAGGCCGAGGCTACAGACATGTTCCACACGAACCGGAGTCTTTCGGACGGTGGAAACAGTCAAGTCAATATCGATATGGTGCTGAAAAACTGCAATGGGAAGCTTGCACTGTGGACCACTACCTGGGACCATGAGATGAGAAAAGGTGAAGAATACGACATCTCATATTTTGATGCATGACCTCATGTTTTGCTGATAGCTAACGGAGAGTCTTTTCACTTTTCCTTCACCAATCTCTTTTGCCTCTATTCGAGCCTTTTCTTGAATAGTTTTGGTGTTCAATCCAGCGTCCCACCCGTAAGTACGCAATTTTTTTTCGATGCATCATTGCTATACTGTCGTTCTCAGGCAAATCGCACAAATAGTCATGTTCGCGCCTTATCTGCGTGTTTTGAAAATGCATTGAATGTCTTGGGAATCGCATCTAAAGACTTTAGGGAATTTGGTGTTTTGGTAAGTCTTGCTTTAGCGCACTTTCCACTAATTGACACTTTATGCAGCGCTACGGACAAGAGACAACCTCCGTTATGACTGCATACTCTGCCATATTTCTATTGAAGGTAATAAATGTGCTGCCTCCAAATATGAGTGAAGTTGATGCGTCGACCTTAGTTACTCCGCAGCTCTAATACTCACACAGACTTGCAATCAGAATTACCGGAGGGTGCAGCTCATCAGATTCATACTGCAATCACGAAAACAGCCGATGCGTATCAAGAAGCTTCTCACCTTTCGCCCACCTCAACATCAGCTGCCTACCACGCTCGGTTTCTGTGGAGTCTTGTTCGTAATGATATAGATCGAGCACGACAAAATGCTCAAAAAGACATTCCTATTGACCCAAACATTCAAAGTACGTCGTCTCCACGCTATGTAGTGTATATGTTGACAGTTCATCGTTTGATTTGTCAGGTTCATATACACCAACTGCTCCATGCGCACCCGAGCAATTTCCATGTTCATCATCCTCTTCTTTGTTGTCATATTCTGCGTATCCAACGCAGAATCCTGATATGAATGGCCAGAACGCGCCTTCCGGAGGACCGAACTATAGTGATGCGTTAGGCCGTGCTTCTGGCTCATATGGCCCTTCAAGTCAACTATCGTATAACATAGGGCATGTCTCAGAAACCGACTTTCATTACTACCGCAGTATGTTAGTCGAGCTTGGTTTCGGAGAGAACGGCACTACCGTTCCTGCCAACGACGGTTTCCGCAACATTGCCTATGGAGACACATCTACTTCTTATTCCCAGATTCCATACGTACACATAGCACCTATGGGCCAAAATGGATTTGGGACCAGTTGATGGGAGCGTTCCTTGTTTTGCACTTTTCTTCATACACGGAATTTTCTGGCAGCACCTCAGTACCACAGTAGTATTAGTTTATGAATGACTTCATCATGGTTGATTCTCTATTGAAATGTCACTCAACACCGATTGGGAAAACAACAACTTCTACACCGTATGCAACTGCAAGCACTGGATTACCCCTCCTAGCCATAAAATCAAAATCCCGGACACGATGGGGGCGGGGTGCGATGTTAATGACGTGAGGCTGCGCATGAACATAATTCATGTCGTGAATGTGAATAACAGCTCCTTTAGTTGAACACTGGGATGCAACAGCAAAATAGTCTGGACTCGTCGGACACCATCTTGTAGATTAATGCCAATGTGAGGGCTTCGGTAGTTAAAAACAATGGATCGACAAAAGCGTACCGGAATTGGTGGCCACCTTCAGGAAAACTTATACCTGTTTGTAAAGGTTTTCCGCCCTGGGGCTTAGACAAATCCCATATAGAAAAGCGGGAGCCGTAAGTTGCCCCTACGCTAAATAATATATAAAGTCAGCTCCAAGTCGAACTCAGAATCAATTGTGCACCAACATATCGATATTATCTTGACGCCAGGCTGCAAATCCGGTCCACTGTGGTGAAATGCCCATCAATGACTTGGACAGCGCGTGTGGTTCAACGAGCTCAATAACACTAGAATGCCTCCAGCTACCCTGCTCACTTGGCTCTGGATCAGACCTCCAGTCGGTCAAGAAGACAGAACCTCGGCAGTCCGATACGAGAAATTCTTTGCTGCTGAATTGGTGGCAATTCACAGTAACAAGGGGATGGGGAAACGAAATCCCATATGCAGTTGGTTGAGGACGGGGATGGGGTGACGACGACGGATCGGTACCCATTGACCTCTTTGGAGAAGGGATTCCAGAAGAAATATCCAACGTCGGATGTAGATCCCAAACCATCAGCATTTTGTCATCTGGGCACAAGATTTTAGTGTCCAGAGTATTATGCAATTTGAACGAGTGATGCACCTGCTACGGTCGCGACATATCTTGCATTGTCTTGATCACGTCCTCCACAAAAGCACATGTCATTGACTTTGCCGTGGTGTCCGCTGAGACCACCACCAAACGCGAACATGTTCTCGGAAGATGTTGAAGACTTTGTGAGCAGGTGGAGGCTGAAGTCTGAGGCAGCAGCAGTAATCCTGAGACAGCTTCAATTTCAGGCCTTGCGGACAGTGAGGACTGCCTTACTCAATAACCCAGTCATCACTTGAACTAGGTGAAATGGATCGAGGCGACCATGCTAGAGCTGTTATGCGTCTCCCAATATGAAAAGACGCCACCCTTTCACTGACGAGTGGGCTCTTCAAGGGAAAAATATATGATCAACGGCTTAGTTCATGCAACTTGGGAACACACATACTACACGGAAGACTTCCACTGAATGCTCGCCTGCGATAGCCAACAAGTCCGCTCCGTCGTCATTAGAACATGCGCGAACAACAAAAACGTCTGATCCATGATTGATTCTCACTACTCCGCTGTCCATGTCCACTGAATGTACGGCGAGTGGATTCAAGAGGATCCGCTTTCCGCCAAAGTTTACAGTACAGCTGCAAACGAAGCGTAGTATGTAACAGAAGTTGTGTACTGCTAGCCCGCGACCGTGCGGCTTTGCCGTAATATTGAATCACTTGCCTGCGACAAATTCACAACTCGCGAGGACCCCGGCTGTCCTTCAAAATACTGGTTGACAAGTTCCCCCCATGTACATCCATATATTCAAAGTTCCGCATTCGCTCGCCTGATAAGTTTCATATAGGGAAGGGCAAAGGCATGTAACAAGCCTGTTGACGCGTCTGCTACCTTGAACTTCGCGAACAGACCCAGTTCTACGTGAAAGACAAAATCTGGGCCCCGGTATGTCATCATTAAGCTTCTCGAGAATGCCATGACCGAGTATTGAAGACGGACATGAGACGTATGACAAGGGCCGATTTTTGATCGCCGGCTTCCCTTGATTCGATCGGGCTGGAGTTCAATCAAAGTAACGGTGCGGGAGGACACTGCGTGCCTAACTCTGACAGGGAGGGCGATGCGATGCCTGTTGGAGCGGAGGACGTGAAAATGCCAAGCGCTCTCGTATAATTCGTACGCAACGATCGTCAACCCAATTCCTGTCTCAATTGACAATAAGTTCAAGCACGTACATTGAACAAACTATGCCAGTGATGGAACAAAAGACATATACACTGAGGAAGTCTATCGTACGAGACGCGCTGCTGACAGCAAGTTGTTTTCTTGACTTTATGATCAAGATATCTCCTGAAATTGGAACAACCTTGCCTGACACTAGACGTATACCAAAAATCCTGCACCATCGGCTGGTACTGCTGTCCTGCATGCTGCTCTTCCGCCCTTCACAATTGAGAATATAGCTCCATCTGAGCATAGAAGGTGGGCCTTTTCATCGACGTCATCCTACTCGCTATCAGCATGTGTATAAAGATTAGCCTGGAGAAACTCACGGGTATCCATTCCCATCCTCTGCACCGGATATATTCTACCACCGAGGGACCTGTCCCTTCACTGGTTATCTTTCCATCGTCGGTGTATCTTAAGTTAATGTGGTTCCCATCTTGGTATGCTGCAGTTAGCACGGCATGTGACTTTTCTGCAAAAGCATTTCGAGCTTCAACGGTATCCATAACGAAGGTAGGATCACGGTGAGGTCGAACCATGACAAGGTCTAGCGAGACCTCCGACGAAACAAAATCGGACGCAAGAGGGGTGATTCGGAAAGCAGGTTCCAAACGATCGACATTGACAGTAGAAAGAAAGTATGCGAATGGGCCATACACATCTACAATGCCATGATCATCTGAGTCTTCGTGAGTTACGAAAGTCTTTTGGTCTGGATCGTATATCTCCACAGCTTGAGCAGATGGCGTAGGCAGGAGCTTGACATGGCTGCTGTACCATTGCGTGATGTTGTTCCTCGCAGCAACTTTGAATCTTTCGATGCTTGGCATTTCTTTCCTCAGGCTCTCGGAGTCATGGAGGATAGAGGCGTGCAAAGCAGTAGAGGTCACTACCGCTGAAACCGCGACCTTGGAACAAGGTTGCTTTGAGTTCGGTGGAGAAGATAGGGTCGTGACAGCCAACGTGAGGGGAACGACATTTGAGCCCCTGATGAATGCTTCCAGAGACTTCAGCTTGTATGCTGGGCCCTCATCCATGGAGGTTGGCTTGAATAAGGAGCAGTAAAGAGCGTTTGCCGTCCCACACGGGACAAGAACTACACGAACTGAGGATGATACAACATTCTCGCGTACACCTTTCAGTGCTACGAGTGAGAGGGCGTTGATGATTTCGTGCAGCGTTCCATCGCCGGAGCCCAGTATGACTGTCACGTTGCCCTCATATCGTTCGAGGAACTCGAACACTATGGTACCAGCATGTCCAGCGGCTCCAGTTGCCACCTTTTGGGTAACTTGGATACGCGCTTCCTCGAGACGAGGAAAGACATGTTCATTGAAAAAGGCCTCGGCAGTGCCATTTCCACAGACGGGATTATACATCACCAGCAGTGGACAACTCGCCATGGCGCTCTGATCAATATGTAGTCAGTGACGAATTCCTTATACTGCTAGTTACCAGCTGGAATTTAGCTCACAAACTTTCGATTGAAGATGTTGGAGTGTTCTAAGGTCCTCGCCGTTCTCTGATAAGATACTTACGGTACTCCGGGCCGACGCCCGAGCCTAGTGGTGACATAGAAGTCCGACGATAAGCAAACTTAGCAGTGTATATGTTTCCACACCTGCATCTATCCGGAGCGGTGCTGTTGTCGCACAATCTCAAACATTTTACTTGCCGTACCATGGCTTCAGTCGCTCCTCCGGTCTTCAAGCCATTCACCCTCACCCTTATTCAGCTTGGTTCTATTGGCTCTGATAAGGCAGCCAATCTTCAGCATGCTCGCGAGATGATCGTGAAGGCAGCAAAGAGCAATTCAGACAAGCCTCAAGTTATTGTATTGCCGGTATGGGGCCAATTTTGATTCACTCGACTCTATCTCATCTTATTCTGTTTTCAGGAATGTTTCAACTCGCCGTACGGCTTTGTTCACTTTCCCGCGTATGCCGAGAACATTGGCTACACTGCTGGCAAGGAGTATGATATTCAAGCGAGTGTAAGCGAAAGTGTTAAGATGCTGTCTTCTGTTGCGAAGGAGGCGGGAATCTGGCTCATCGGAGGTCATACCTCGCTCAAACGTGTGGCAAGGAGGTAGAAAGTTTATATTTTGTTTAACAGGTTCGATACCCGAGAGAGATGAGGAGACAAACAACATCTACAACACCTGCACTGTGTATTCTCCGACAGGTGTTAATTTCCCTCAAACTTACTCCAATCAACACTGACATACGTGGATGGAGGTGCACTTGTTGCATCACATCGCAAGGTTCACTTATTTGACATCGATATCCCTGGGAAGATAACATTCAAGGTATATCCTTTACTAGTTCTCGCTTTAGCATCTGTTCTGGATCTCATCGTACCTACAGGAGAGTGAAACATTAACAGGAGGAACGACGACGAACTATTTTGACACTGGTACGAACCTCATACAAAGTGCTTGCGCCGCACCCGATGAAATTCTCCCAAGAATTTGCACGTATTGGCCTCGGTTTGTGCTACGACGTCAGGTTCCCGGAACTAGCAATGATAGCGGCACGGCGAGGTCCGTGGTTATATGATTTATACGAGGAACGAAAAACACACAACCCCTCAAGGTTGTCATGCCATAGTTTATCCTGGGGCATTTAATCTCACCACTGGACCTTTGCATTGGGAACTCCTTCAACGAGCTCGGTAGCGCATTGTCCAACTGTGCTTAATAGTTCCTGACGTAGCCTTTAGGGCCAGTGATAACCAGGTTTTCTTTTCCATGTGCAGCCCAGCACGGGATATGACCGCTGGGTACCACTCAGTAAGTGAACCGCCACATTAATCATACGACCAAGAGATCTGAACTATCCTGATAGTGGGGGCACTCGATGGTCGTTGACCCATAGTAAGGCACATCATTCAACATACCCGGATCGCACTAAAGCAACTTACAGTGCCCGTGTACTCGCAGAGGCTGATGAGAACGAGACAATCCTGCACATCGATATCGGTGAATTTTAACATCGTTCACGTTGTTCACAAGTTGCTAATTTGACACGGGATTTAGATCCTGAACCATTCCATGAAGTAAGAGCCGGAATACCAGTCACAAAACAGCGTCGTTTTGATGTCTATCCCGATGTGAGCGCTTGATAAGGTATGAAGAGCATAGGGCGATAATGCTGTTGACGTGGCTATGTAGTATGTAGTCATGTAATCTTTCCATAATCGACAATGTCTTTCGAACAAGGGGGAATGTTGAAGCATGACTTACGACTTCTCAACTACAGCCTTAGTAGATGAACTCTGGAGAGTCCGGATGTACTATTCATCGAGCTGTATCTGCAAGAACCCAGCTGTCTGAGCCTTGCACCTCAAAAGCTGTGACAATCTTGGCAATGTGGCAGTGATGAAAGATCGAAAAAAGACCGTTTCCATTTTGAGAGAAGCTAGCACAGCTAAAGAAAATTCTGGTAGGTTCCACAAGATTCTTGAGCGCGGGTGGAATCCTTAGAAAAAGTGAACAGCGTTCACTTCTGCATCAACCACCTCCCTGTCTTCTAGCTACCCTCCCTCCGCCATGGTCAAAGAAACGTGCGGCTAGTGATATTTAAACCAATTTATGTGCTAACACTTAGCGCAGAAAGTTTTATGATCTCCTGGAAGTCCCAGTAGATGCTTCAGAGCCTGATTTAAAGAAGGCGTACAGGAAGAAGTGAGATAAGAATTGCGGCGAGTCTGAACGTCATTGACCCGTTTCGCAGAGCCTTGAGACTACACCCTGACAAAGGTGGTGACCCAGAACTCTTCAAGGAAGTTACACATGCGTACGTTTTACTTTACATGTACAGAATTCGTTGTCTCATTTTGTAGATACGAGATTCTTTCCGACTCACAAAAACGTAGTATATATGATGCTCGAGGTGAAGCTGGTCTTTCCGAGCAAGGCGGAATGGGTGGGATGGATCCCCAGGTAAGGCCTTAGTCGACATCGATGGTGGCGTCAGACTGACTTGGACCCCCTAGGATCTTTTCAGTCAATTGTTCGGCGGCGGCGGATTCTTCGGTGGTGGTGGCGGCGGCGGCGGTCGCCAACAGGCTGCCCGCAAGACTAAGGACCTCGTACATCGCGTAAACGTCACGCTTGAGGATCTCTACAAGGGCAAGACAACTAAACTTGCCCTTACTCGCAATGCACTTTGCGTCAAGTGCCACGGTCGCGGGGGGAAAGAGGGCGCTGTGCGACCGTGTTCTTCATGCAACGGACGTGGTATCAAGGTCACATTGCGCCAGATGGGCCCCATGATCCAGCAGATTCAGTCCGCCTGCGACGAATGTTCGGGTACGGGAGAGGTGATCAATGCAAAGGATCGCTGCCAGCAATGCAAAGGCAAAAAAGTTATGCCTGAGAAGAAGATTTTGGAAGTGCACATAGACAAGGGTATGAAGGGTGGCCAGACGATCATTTTCAGTGGAGAAAGCGATCAGTCGCCAAACGCCGAGTCAGGAGATGTCGTTATTGTCATAGAAGAAAAACCGCATGACCGCTTCAAACGTCAAGAGACCAATCTCATAACGGAACTAGAGATCGATCTATTGACAGCCCTTGGGGGTGGACGAGTTGTGATTCGTCACCTCGATGATCGCGCCCTAATGGTGAACTTTGTTCCTGGCGAGGTTGTCAAGAATGGTAAGAATTTATGAAGAGCATGGCGATAAAACATGGCGCTGATATTTTTGGTAGATGCTGTCAAAGTCATACGCGGCCAGGGAATGCCATCTCAGCGACATCATGAGCCAGGAGATCTGTTTGTGAAGTTCACTGTAAATTTCCCCGAACACATCGATCCGGCCGTTATCCCCTTACTTGAGAGGGCACTACCAGCACGAACAGAGATCGAGAAATTCCCTAAGAACATTCATCTCGAGGAAGTGGATCTGGACGAGCCTGACGCGCGGTCAAAGGCAAATGCTATGTCAGATGAGTCGATGGACGAGGATCATGAAGGAGAGCCGCGTGTTCAATGCGCAAATCAGTGATTTGTGCATGTCGATTAGCATAATATCTGTTGCGCTAGAGACTCGCATCTGTTGTTACACTCGTTACATTTAATACGCATTTTCATTTCATTGACACTTTTTCACTTGGTTGGTACTCTGCATTACTGAGGAATGTCCCATCGAATCTAAGTTTGACGGCAGTGAGAAGGAAGGACTTCATCAAGATGAGATGGAATTGTACTTCGGGATTTTCCTTGAATGCATTGTAGGCTGCATGATTAAAGAAGCTTATCTCTGTCTCGTTTTCTAGCGCGCGACAGTCAACAATCACCTGTACCTACACGCTCGAGGACTTACCAATATCAAGTTCAGCTAGGAGACAGGCGTCATCGTCGAAAATCCAGTCGTCGTGGTCCATATTGATGATCAGATTGGTCGTCTGACAGGGGTTTTAGACCAAGCCTCAAAATCGTACGGCTCGGGGACCATACCTTGGCACCGTGAGCTTTGGTGTACAGCTTAAGTGTATCTGTGCCGGAAATTTTGAACATTCTCCTATCAAGGCAGAGGCCGTGATGCTAACCTAGGTGTACGTTTCGATACGGCTTCCATCCCGATCCAGTCTGGATAGCTGCAGCGAAGGATGAAACAAGTCGGAATATGCTAAACAACGTAGCATACCTCGCCGAGCCATATCCTTGAGCTCTCCAACTGTTGTGATCTCAAGGTTCAACATGTGTAATACAAGACTGCGTTCCGTGCGGTATTCAAAGGATTTGATTACCCGAAGAGTTATAGTCGCCTGAGTTTTTGGGAGAGCAACGTTTGTGAGTACATCAGAAATTTCATGAGACATCTTGCGAGTACTGGAAGAGAAGATGCAGTTCACGGCGTCGGCCAGTCAGTAAAATATGATGTTATGTACTGCATCGGGCCCAGTGAACCAGATCATTATTATTATATTTACTAACTTGAGCAGTCACCAAATGTCCGGGAGCATCCTCATTACAACACCAGACGACCTCCAATCCCCAAAAGATCCACGGACTCTTACTTCTTTAAATGAGATACTATCATGCTTGTCGTGGTATCAGTCCATTGAAACAGAACTCTCAAACTCCCTGACAGAGCTTCTCTCAAATCGTCAATCTATTGACGAGTCACTCCAGCAGTTAGAGGTTCTCGTTCCGCGTCTCGATGACCTTCAAATTGAAGCAACAAACTTTTCGACCAAGGTCTCAGCCACTGCGCAGACAGCAGAACGAGTGGGTGGACGTGTACGTTCGCTTGACGAGGAAATGAGACGCGTTGGAGAGGCTGCTGAGCGGGTCGGGCAAGTCATGGAACTGAAAGTACGTCTTCAAATGTCCGACCACCTTTATATTCAGTCAATACTGTCATGCAGTCTTCTCTTGCTCAATTACAGTCTTGCATCGAAAACCAAGACTGGGAGTCGGCCGCCAGATGTTGTGCGCGTGCCATGTCCTTGCCCTTTACAATCATTTCAGGGCCTTTTGCAGAGTCTGTTGTTGTGAGTAACTACTTGAAACATATCAGACTCTTCTCATCAACCCGAGCAGCCTACAGCTGAGAGTCACTTGCCTCCAGCCCAGACCCTGCAGGCTGCACGAGAACAGCTTTTATCCATTTTCAGGAGTCACTTCGAACAAGCATCTCGCGAACGAGATGCTGCAGCCACGACTCGTTACTTCAAACTCTTTCCTACTATTGGTTGGGAGGCAGAAGGTCTCGAGGCCTATGCATCCTTCGTGGTCGATCTTGTGCGAGTGAGAGCTCCAACATCAGCCAAAAGTACGCCATATCGGGCTTGGGCAATAACCGCATTCTTACATCTCACTTAGCCTCCTCACCTCTATACTTCGTGACTACACTTACAGCGTTACTGGAAAGTGTTGCCATGATAGTTGACCACCACCAACCGGTCGTTGACAAATATTATGGGGCAGGTAAGATGACGACTGTCATCAAGCGCTTGCTGGATGAATGCGATCGTGTTGTGCGGCTTACATTGGATAGCTGGAGAGAAGATAGGTCAATAAAGAGAAAGGTGAAGTATTTTAATCCATACGATCGGATGATGAGTTCGAGACCAGCGCCCAGTAGCTTCTAGATGTGTCCAGTTCTTCCTTCTCCATTGCACCTGCTCGCAAGCAATCATCCCAGGTTTCATCCCAAGATGACGATGAGTTTGACCCTCGCGAGATTGACAAACTCTTATCTGAAATAGCGGGTATGAGCGGTCGATGGCACCTTTTCCGCAAGTTTCTTGTGGAGCAGATACAGGTAAGCACCCTCATCCTCACAAAACCCACGTGAAGCTTATCATGCCAAGGACGAAGATGTTGAGGAAGATACTCAAAGCGGCCGAGTCACTCCTGTTTTACGAGGTCCCAATCATGAAGGACATCAGTCACATATCAACGACGATCTGAATGCTTGGGGCTCTGGCATTCAACCAGATCTACTACAACTCGTGGAATCCAGTCGATCTCATCAAGAGTTTGACGAACTTCTCATGACTTATTATGTTCCGATGGAGACATGGTATACACGTACTATCATCGACAAGGTATTTGTTCTCGCACACATCAGTACATCGAACTGAACTGTTCTGCAGGCTCACCGGTTGTCGTCTCCTGATCTATCACAATCGCCTGTTACTACTACAACACCAGACGATGTATTCTACATTCTCAAGACAGTCTACTCGCGAGTCCTGTCGGCGGGCTCGCTCAAGCATGTTGAGCGAATGACTGATCTCTTGAAGGACTTTATGGATCATGATTATGCTGGCGGCATCAAGAGGAAGCTTGATGAGGTTTATCGAACGGCGGCGAACACGAGCGGTGGCGGACGTGGGGAAAAATCTGAGCGAGAGTGCCGCACATCCTTCATCGTAGGTACTTTCCTGTGGACTAGGATTTTACGCTGACGCATTGTATACAAGATTCTCCTCAACGATCTTGATCTATCTTCTTCGCACATGGAGCGATTGACGAAAGACCTTCTTGGTCACCAAACTATAACACAACTTTTCCTGGATGCAGAACAGCCACACGTGAAAAGGGTAATCTCCAGTCTAACAGGATCTGTAGCTAAGTTCCGTTCGGCGCTGAAAGTATGTGCTTTCTTATTCTCACCGAGGATCACTTCACCGAACTAGATTTCAGGCAGGCGTAGAGCAGCTTTTCAACCAGCTTATGAGACCCAAATTACGCACCTTGATTCCAGACGTGTTCAAAGACGTATCATATGTACTCGACGAAGACTCCTATAACGCCGCAGAACAACACGACGTAGTTCGGAAGCGGTTTATTAAAACGTGGGAGGGATTGGTCGATGGGTACAAGGTCAACTTTCCGCCACAACGTCTGTGGCATATATTGATATTTGCACAGGATGCGTTCACAGACAATAACTACCGCGTGTTGTTTGGGCTTGCACTCGATGTCGTTGCTCGACCCTGGGAGAAGTATATTTTGACGCTACATTTCTCTGAGGTAGGCGCCACGCTTCTCCGTGCTCGTCTTGAAGGTAACATTAGTATAGCTGGGTGCCGTCCGTTTCGACCGCGACCTTCGATCAATAATGACATACCTCTCGTCTCAAACGATCTTTGGAGACATCCGGGAGAAGTTTGTGCGCTTGCAGCAGATCAGTTCGTTACTGAACTTGGATAATGTGAGTAAACTTCTGAATGGAATGTCATTCCAGTCACTAACGCGCTCTTTAGGAAGAAGACGTGGATGGGTTCTACAGTGGTTCAGGCATATCCTGGACTTTCAGTTTACAGGATGCAAAAAATGTCGTGGCATTGAAGGTATAAACTCACATAGCCTGTAGTGTTGTTGTCGAGGCGAGTTAGACTTGATGTGAACTCGATTCAGTTCGAGATTTACCATGGATCTTTGAATCACTTCGGAACAAACTCCTGCCCCCAGTGTGAATGGTGATGAAGGCTTCTCCCTTACTATCCAGTGCCGCAGGTTCCGTCTGCACAAGATCTTCACTTGTTATGTGGGTCATACAAGCTACAATTGATGGAGACCATGCCTTTGCAGAATTTCCAGATGCTCCGCACAATATGGGGACTGCCTCAGTACCAGTCTAATGCACCCTTGCATTCACCGATAATGGAACCGCATCTACTCAAAAGCGACAGAAGACAAATGCTGATGCAGTTGCCCGACCGAACCATAGCTGTTGACCCGAGCATCAAGCTTGAGTGGTTGAAGGAGCACTGGGAGGCTGCGGATGTCGATAATACTCGAGAATGGATGCTACAAGCGGTTCGTCGTTTTTTTCTGCGTGTTGTGGATGACGTGATTTTTGGGTGCAGATGACTTCGTTTCGTACGTCCATTGGAGTCGGCGAGACCCAGACCCAACTGGGACTATCTACACCTTCAATATCACAGCAGGTGCTCACCAACTCGACAGTAATCGCCTCGCGGCCTTATCTGCTGGATTTGGCCGCACGAACAACCTCAAAGTAGATGTGCGGCGCTGATCTTCTGCTACTAATAGCACTATCCCTCCAGCATTGTCTCTGAACCAGTGGTACATTCCTCGACACTGGAAACCACCGAAGAACGCTTCCGCAAGGAACTCGAACTGCACAGGAAGGATGCCAAGTGCGAGTTTTCTCGTTACGAAGATGCAGGTATACTACTTGAAGCAGCTGAAGGCACAATAGATATCGTTCGTTCTGGGAGGTATGTGATATGTTTCTGTCTGCAATTCATAAGATTGACGGGTATCATGTTAGCAAATAGAATATACATCTCCGCTTCTATTCCGCGTCGCTATGGATGTCTAGCATGCTCAAGCTTCACCCGTGCCTTCTGAGCGCATATTTCCACCCAGCAAAGAGACCTGCACTCTATGGTGCAGCAACTTGTCTCCGACCACACTTGAAGCACTCCAAGTCCTGAAGTTTATTTACAAGCAAGACCGCCTCAATTTTACAGAGGACCTGGTGGCTGACGAGCGGAACAACACGATGTTTGGACCTGTGACTCTCGGAGCAGTTGACGAAATGCTCCAGAATGTAAGGGACATTGATTATAATTGGTTCAAGATTTCCTGCGGAAGATTTCTTCGCGTCCAAGTAGAGGTTCATAACGGGGTGGACGAAATGTCGCCATTCTGCATCTGTATCATGGTTCTGAGAGGATGACGAGTTGGTAGGATATGACCGCGAATATTTTGCTAGCGGATAAGTAACGGTTGTTGTTGTGAATTGTATCATTTCCTGGGTGCAGACAGTTCTATTGAATTTGATCCTGATGGCACATGCCTGCAGGGGTTTCTGGTTTTGGCGTTCTTTTGGAATAAGTCCGAACTAGCGGTTCGATATGCTGCCTGTACTTAAATTTCAAACTCTGTGATATAAGCCCTCGATCATGTGCGCAACTAGCTAGGCGATTACTGGTACTTACAATGCCAGCCCTTAGGCATTAACTTCAAGCGTTTAAGCATCTACCACCGAGCTCGCGACCTCCGCCACTCCCGGGCCAATATACGTTACACGAGTACGTTCTGTTTTCCCATCTGATTTAGTAGTGACCTCTCGTCACCTTCGGCATCAATGATTGAACTCTTTAAATTTGAGACAAGCCAGCGCATCATAAAGCGCAACTTTTTCAGTTTTGCTTGCCGCCGCTCTACACTACGTTCAGCCCGTCGTCGTGGGCGTCCCTGGTACCTACTACTGTTTGCAATCCTCTCGACGGTCTTCACATGTGTTGGGATTGCGGCGACTATGCTTCGGACCCCGATTTAACGGACCTGGACACAGACTCAGCGGGAGATAGTAGTAGCCAATGTAGCGAGCATAGCAGTCTGGGCGAGGCGCCCAGTGAAGACAGTGCAGGTGACTATGGTGAAGAGGTATATAGTAATCACTGTTCGCCGACTTTTGCTTTGAAGTTCCAGATAGACAACCCGCGACAAAGCGTGTCAGGGCAGACAAAGGAACTGATACGGGAACGGCACCAGCAGCAAAAGGTTCTGGCAGAAGAAATAAACCTCCTGGTCTCATTGTCACTGTGCCAACCGATATTCTTCTCGAGGTAAGTTAATGAGCATTGCACATGCATCTTATTTGTTTCGATCTCTACTTCCAATCAGATCTTCGGCCTCTTGGAACCTGTAGACCTTTTACATCTGTTTGGCACCCACAAGGCTTTCCGTAAGGTTCTATCATCTAACAATGCAGTCTCAGTCTGGAAATCTGCTCGCGTCAACCGTGGCGGCGTTCCCGACTGCCTACCTGGCATGTCTGAGGTGGAATGGGCTGACCTATTATTTGGCGGCTCTTACTGTCAAGTATGTCTGGTTTCTGTTTACATCTTTTGTACTTTCATGACCGCAAGCTCAGGAATGTGGCAGGAAGGGAATTTAGGAGATAGACTTCGGTATCAGGCGCAGAGTATGTCCCCCATGCCTCAATGAGAAGTGAGTACTCTTTATTATTATCATGCTTTTATCTGGCCAACAATTCATCAAGCCTAGTCTGTGACGGCGCCTTTCCACTCGAATTTTCTGGATACGATCCGATCATCATGGATTTAATCCCATTCAGTAGCAGTGGGTGCTGTCTTACTATGGTTCATCAATGTCTGATCTTCCTGCGCAGTTGGTAGAGATGATCATAATCACACTACTGACTGCAAGCTTTTTTGGTCAGATGACGTTCCGAGAATGGCAAAAGAGCTGGAGGTGTACCTCAACCCAGGTGCCGAGCAAGCACTAGAAGACTTCAAGCAATCACGCAAATATGCTGATTCCGATATCGACGTAAGGTTCCTACAGGCGGTTTGACTAAATCTAACAGCTTCAAAGCATATAGCAGTCTGTAGCGCTTGGTCCAACAAGGACGATAATCGTCAATTGTCGCGTGCCCGCGAGCTTAGTAGCCAAAATACAGAGCTGTAAGTAAATTTAATCGACTTGTCATCTAATCATGTCTTGATCCTCTATCCTAGGTTTCAAGCTAGACTGGTCGGTCTTGGCCACGATGCCAAAGATGTGGAGCGCATGTTCGAGTATCATCACTATGGTGTGCTAGATAAGGAACTTACCGGTGCACGTCAGTGATCGGCTACATTTGAAAAGATTTGTCCTTATATTGTTGATTTCCAGGCTGGAAGCGTTTGATCCCAAAAGTCGAGCGTAAGCTTGCTGAATTGCAGGAAGAATGGCGCCTCGAGAACCAAAGAAAGGTATCGTCTGCTCGGGAGTCTCGCCTGTTGGATATGTGCCAGAAACATGTGCGGCCGTTGCCACAGGCTATCATACCTCCTCAAAATTTCTTGAAGCTATGCGATGTTGCCGAATTCATCAAAAGCCCACCCACTGAGGACAAAGAAAGCGATATTTATGTTTTCGCGGAAGGATTTCCTGAGTTTTGTGCTGAATATATGCATAAAAGGAAGCTCGAGCTGACACGACTACTTACCCTCTCCACTGATGTAGCGCAAGATACCACGACACTACGAAGCCAAGGAATCGACGCCCCTGATGATGTGTTATTGCAGCTGGCGACCTCCGTTTTCCAATGCACTCATCCGCGCTTCTTCCCCTTGATTACATGGGACAAAGTGCAGTATCACGCTCACCGAAGTTACGCGACGTCGGTGTTGACATCATCTTGCACATTTTTTATTTCTCAGCGTTGTGTTGCCGCTGCACGTTCTTTATTAAGCTTGGTCGGTCTCGATGCCCAAACTACGACTGCAACTACAATGGACGACCTCCAGTGTCGCTTTTTCTGTGCCAACTGTCCACCGAAGCCAGAGAATGGAGGATCCTTCCGGATGGCGATGAACTGGCGTCAGGGCGTTCGTCCTGTGTTTGTGACTTTGACTCTGTACTTACTGTCTTCTAGGTCTTCCATTATGTCAACCAACAAGATCCATCGCACAAAGAACCTCGTTGGGAGTTCTTGAGTGCCGAACAACTTCAAGTCATGCAAAGTTGGCGTGCGCCCGAATATCCTGGAGCTACTCAGCGGGTGTGGCGTTGTAACAAGTGCATGTATACCACGGAGATCCAACTACAAAGGTCACCGTGATTAAACATGCAATCGTAAGCCATCACCTTTCACCTTTCACTTTACCTTTTTTTTGACGCGTAGTAGGCATAAAATCACTACTATGACTGAAGGGATTGACTTTAGCTATGACCAAGGCATCGTTGAGAGACCGCCTCCAGCAACGAAGTTCTTCATTACCCCTCAGACCAAGAAGCCCTCAAAGTCAGGCACGACCCGGAAGTCTAAACCTTCTACCGAGTTGGTATATCTCTGCCAACATTGCAATGGCTCAAACCGGCCCTTCATGCTGGAAGGTGTCAAGCAGCACATCAAAGTCAAGTAAATAAGCATTTTTTCAAACGGTCCAGATCCGCTCCTTATTAATTTCAGGCACAAGATCAATTCCCCAAGTGAAGGGCCAGACTTTTGTAAAATCAAGTAATTCCAACGCACTTTAATTCTTCATAGCCTCCTCTTCATCTTTCGCTCTATACATACGACCTTTAACATATAACTCCAGCGGCTGCGTATGCCACCTGCATCCCTAATGTTCAAGTATATATATATATTTTTTTTTTTGAATCCTTGTTTATTGTCCGTTGGGGCGTAGCCCTATGTTAGACAGTACATGCAGTATGTTACTCTATGGTACTCGGTGTTTATCTAATCTGGTGAGGGGGTTCTGTAATCCTGGTCCGGGCTGGTGCGAGGATGATAGTGCCGTCTTAAGGCATATAAAGAGGGGATGGCTAAGCACTTAGCGCATTGTGATGGTTCTAATTCTTCTTTGGGGGGCTGACATCTCCGAAGGTGCTTGCCAAGTGTTTGGTATGAGCAATGAATTTGAGGACTGCCTTGATACTTTTCCCCTTGTTTAGGAGGTCTTTGAGGCTGTGCACATGTGTTCCAATCTCTGCTTTCATGATTGCTCTTTGTCTTGCGTGTGCTGGGCATGATAGAAGAAAGTGGTGTACTGATTCTTCTCTTTCCTTGCAGGCAGGGCAGAGTGGGGAGAGTGCTCTCGAAATTCTGTGAAGGTGTTTGTTCAGAGGGATGTGGCCTGTGCGGAGCTGGATGAGTAGGGCAGTGTGCTTTCTTGGGTACTTGTCTGCTAGTTTTGCGAAGCAGTTGGATGGGTAGGATGGGTCTATTTCCCGGAATCTGTTGCTACGTGGTGAGTTGTGCAGGACGGTTTTTGCTTCTTTGTTGATTGAGGCATTGAACATTTGTTTTATGGCTGATTTGCTTTCTGGGAGGGTAGCTGGCACGTTGTTAGGCGAGCAGAGTGATGTGGGGAGTAGGTGGGTGTCTGTCATTTCTCCTCTTGCTGCCCTTTTGGCTTGTTCATCTGCCTGTTCATTTCCAGGGATGCCAATGTGACCTGCCGACCAGCGTATAGCCAGTTTTCCATCACCCTCGGTAGGGAAGAGGGTGCAGAGGTCATCGTGGAATTTGTCCATCAGATAGTGACCCAGTTTTGACTGGAAGGCATTGGTCGCTCTAATTGCCGCTTGGTTGTCTGCTCCCAGAGCCATTGTCCTTCTTCCTCCTCTCGCTCTCATCTTGTCTTTCAGCAGCTTGACCGCAAGTATCATTCCTACTATCTTGCCCTCATACACCATGTGTTCCTCCTCCTTTCCTAGGTGGAATCTGCTCTCCCTGATTCTTCTCTCCCCTTCCATCAACACAGCTGCGCCTCCTATGCCTCCATCTATTACCGAACTGTCTGAGTACACCCTTAGCTCTTCTCCTGCTCTTGTGTCTTCCTCAAGTGACTTTTCCTTTGACTCCACTATCTGTACTTCGACATCTGGGGTCCACTTGGGGTAGTGGTGAATGGGGAGGATCGTTTCGGTGGTGTTAGGGTTGATCTTGAATTTAGTGGAAAAGTTTGTGTATCGGGGATGGGAGTCGTTTCTGTTTGGTGAAGTTGTGCTTTGCTAAATATTGGTGCGCTGATGCGACACCTTTATGTAGCAGGGTGGTCCGTGTGTAGGGTGGCCAGTCTCAGTGTGGCAGCAGTGGCATTGGCTTCTCAAGATTTGCTGAAAAGGGGCAGTATCAGCATGTGCATCAAGTAGGTTTGATGCAGTGGAATGCATTGCCCCAGTGATTAGGATAGTGGCCATCCTGTGGACTCGCACCATCTGTGACTGCAAAACCCCTTGCTCCTCTGCCTCCTGATTTGCCCCTTCCTTTTGAGATGAGGTCTGTGCACCACACATCAGCTGTGTATAACATCTTAGGAATGATTACTCCTCTGTATAGTTTTCTCATCCACCTCCCCTTCATGCCCTTCGTCGTTCTGATCATTCTCTGGCACATCATCACATACTTTGTGCCTTTTGCCAAGGCATATGCAGCATGTTCTTTGAAGCTGCAGTTCTCCGTCAATTATTATTCCTAAAAACTTATGTGGGTGTGAGGGATTAATGGTATGATTACCTATTGTGATTGAGGGATGATGCATGGGTTTCGATTTTCTGGGGTTGTCTTCATCTGTAGGTGTGCTTTCTTGACAGGCAGATCAGTGCAGTCTTGTCTAGTTCAAATTCAGTGTTGTGCTTGTGGCTCCACTCTAAGGTGCCCCCCAGTTTTTCCATCATGTTCTTGAGTTTGTTGTTGGCTTCTTCATATGTTTTCGCAGTGTGCCAGGAGGGCTATGTTGTCTATGAAACCTAATCCCATTTCTCCCTGTCTTGGTTTGGGGTCTGGAACTCTTAGGACATCTGCGTTGTAAAATATGAAGGCGAGGGGGGAGAGTGGGCAGCCTTGATCAATGCCGTTTTGAACGTCGAAGGGGGCTGATTTGAAGTCGTCAAATGATAGTGTTGTTTTGCGGTTGGACAGTCTGCGATGGTACCAGTCTATGTATTCTTGGGGAAGGCGTGCTTTCTTGAGGTTGTGGAGTAGCTTATTGACTATCACACTAGGGAAGGCTGCTTTAATGTCCAAAAAGAGAATAGATACGAAACTGTCCTTAGAGGCCCACACGCATCAGTGACAAACTTCATTAAGAGATGGAGTGAATCAGTGGTAGATCTGCCTGGGCGTCCTCCGAAATGCATTGGGGGGAGGAGGTTGTGCTGTTCTGAAATATATGTTAGATCGTCTGCTACACAAGATGAAAGGATCTTAGCCATTGAGTCAAGAAGGGTGATCAGTCTATGTGCTTTGGGGAGGGAGTAGTCCGGGCATCCTGGTTTTCAAAGGACGATGGTCAAGGACAGTTTCCACTCATCTGGATAGACTCTGAGATGGAAGGTGGTGCGAAAGATAGGGCCTAGATAAGGAACGAGTAGGTTAGTGCATTTGATGAATACTATGTTGCTGATTCCATTGGGTCCTGGGGCTTTGTGTGGACCGAGTCTCGCAATTGCTCTGTGAATTTGCTGGTTGGTTATTGGATGGAATTCGCATATTGGTGGTTTGTATTCATAGTTGGGGTCTATGAAGTTGTTGTCTGGGGGTGGACAGAAGAAGGTTTCATATAGGAGCTGGCTTTTTCATTCATTATCTTGTGTGTTGTTCGTGTTAGCTTCAGGTGCAGGTTGAGGGTCTTGAAGTGTCGTTATCCTTGTGTGGATTTGCTCTGCTGGGTTGCTTGTGGCATATCTGTGGAAGTTCCAAATGCCTGTCTCAGTTAGTGTTTCTAGCCATTCATCCCAATGTGAGTCCTTAGCCTTCTTGATATTTTCTGAGAACCGGTTGCGCACTGTTCGGTATTCTTCATGGATGGGGTGATTTTTCTGAGGTAGCTTGTTCCTTGCTTTCTTGCCGAGCTTGTGGACTTGCTTGTGTTCTTGGTCTAGGTCTTTCAACCACCATCTTTTCGAGTACGGTGAGGGCTTGACTTTCAGGACCTGCTCTTCTACGGTCTCAAGTATAGCTCCTGTTAGTGCTGTCAGCAATTCTTGGAACTGGTCTTGGTTAGTGAGCTCGGTAGGTTGTCCGATGTTGTCAAGTCGTGTCGCTAGGGCTTCATTGACTAGGTCCCAGTCTGCCTCTCTATAGTTCAGGTGTGGGGTTGGATTTGTGCGGTTGGGGTTGAGGTCCAGGGTGCTTATAATGGGGTAGTGATCGGTAATGACTGGTCTTAGATGGTACTTAACTTCGCATTGGGTGAAAGCATTTACAAGGGCCTCTGAGCAGAAAACATTGTCGGGGCAGGTTTGGTTCTTTGTGTTCGAGGCCTCAAGTGTGGCGACGTCGGTTGGGAGGACTTGGGTGAGGTTGTACAGTGCTAGAAGGTTGATTAGTGTACCTGCTGAGTTCAGGTTATCCGCTGTGAAGAGGTGAGTGTTACACGTTAAGTCCCACATGGGGTGGTGACGGTTGAAGTCTCCCATCCAGATTATGTGCTCCGCGTCATCTTCTGTGCCTTGAGCATGGTCTCTAGTCTGGTTTCAGTGTACATTATGTTCAGTATGCATATGACATTCCAGGAAATGGAGGATGTTGTCGTGGTCGCATGGGTTATATACATTATGGATATGCACCTTTCCGAAGGGGCCCAGTAGTTCAATTGCCATGATATTTGAGGAGTTGATTTTTATTGTGTGCCATTTGTTCTTCGAAAGTCACTTGTTGATGAGGATGATCGTTTGGGTGCAGTCTGGGCTGGTGTGGTGATGTGTTGGATAGATTACGTCCCAGTAGCGACCCAGATTTGAGGTATTGGCAAGTTTGACCGGGTTGAGGTAAGGTTCCTGTATACAAGCTATATCATACACATCAGGGTTTAGATTACAGATTAGATGTTCCCATGCGCTGAGGGATTTGTGTAGATTTTGCTGCCAGATTTTGAGGTCCATTCTGTTGGGGGGATCGTTAGTTGTGTCAGGCATTAATCCCAGCTGTGGTGGTCAATATCACTGTCGGAGATGATTGGGTGGTGTGGCGGGGGGGGGGGGAGCATGTCCATCAGTGGAGGTTGGTGGTTTCTGTTTGCTGGTGCAGGTCTGGAACTGCATTCCTGGGGAGCTTGCTGGGTGTTTGTACCCCAAGTGTCGGTGAGGCGAGCTTGGGTGCCTAGGGGTACTGCAGTTAGAGTTTGTGTGTTGCTGGTTTGTCTTGTTGTGTTGTCGGCGGCTGGGGACTGTGTTCCAGTCCTCCTCATGGGGTGGTGGGTGTCATTGTTCAGCTGGGTAGGTTTGCTGCTGGTGGTGGTCGATGTCAATGTTGGCTTGGGTGTGTCTGCTCATTTCCCATGTTAGCAGGTCCTCAGTAGGGAAGTATATGTACTGGGCTTCGTCGTTTCTGTTCTTGTGTGTTTCCCATTTCGCTTTGAAGGTCAGGCATTCTCAGCTCCAGGCTGCGTGTCCGTTTGACTTGCAGTTGACGCAGTGGTAGGCTGCTGCATTGTCAATCTTGCAATCTACAGTGTGGTGCTTCTTGCCACACATGCTGCAGGTGTTGTGTTCCTGCTGACATTCCGCAGCTATGTGCCCTCCATCAAAAGTGTGACACTTTAGACATCTTGTAGGTTTAGGAAGCAGTTTGCGGCCATACACCTTCTTGCCCTCTATGGTGATTCCATGTTGAAGGATCTGGTTGGCTGAGGTCTTTGAGTTGAGGGATAAGGTGATGTGAGTGGTCCTTTGGTTCAGATTTCTGCGAGCGATGGGTTTGATGTATCTGGCCTTGATCACTGATTTTGGTTGAAGGCCACCTTTCCTTTCAATTTCTGAGGTCGCCACTGGAGAGGTTGGGTTGAAGGATACAGGGACATTTTCAATGATGAGGTGGTACGTGTGGTCTTTTATGATTACCTCTGCTCTAAATTGTTCCAGGAAGTTGCTTCTGTTCCCTGGGATGCTAAGCCAAGCTGCTGATTCCGGGTTGCTGAGTTCATAGAGAATGCCGCCATGGGCGAGTTTTCTTGCTGAGAGGATTGCCATGTTGGAGGGGAGGTCCGTTCCTGTGTTTTTGAGTAACTCAATGGCCATTTCAGCCTTTGCAACTAGTTGTGCCTCTGTAAGTTCTCAGAGGGAGTTGACACCAGTGATGAATCTTTTGCTGATGAGGATTTGTCTTGCCTGTGCTTCGCTACGTGCTAGGATTCTGGTTAGTGGTGCAGGCATCCCCGACTTTGTGGCATTGGCATATGATTTGGGTCCTTCAGACCGTTTTGTGCTTAACTCAGTGATCTTGGATTGAATGACACCCTCTACTGCTTTCTCTATGCCTTTTGATGATTCAGTGATATGGTCATGCACCTCATTCATGACCTTGTCTAGAGCAGTTGTTTGCTTGTCTGTGAATTCTGCTAGTGCCTCCACCTTTTCATCTAGCGTTGCTATGGGTCCACCCATGAGTGCTGCTATTTTCTCTACTAGTTTGTTGGTGTTTATGGTTTGCTTGATTTCATGGGCTATAATAGCAATTGCCCTTAAGGCTTCAGTATGGGTGGCCCCTAAGGTAGGGGATAGGCTTAGTTTGAACAGAGCGAGGGTTAAGTTTTCAAGGGTGCCTCTGCCTGTTGATAGGATCAAGCCATTGGTGCTTAAAAACTTTCTCACTGCTGGAATGGTGGTGATGTCCATCCTAATGTCTGCACCTTCTACATATTCTTTTAGGGTTTTGCTTGGGGTTAGTAGGGTTTTACTGGAAGTAGCTTTGTTCTTTCTAGTGAGAGGAGCTGAGATTGGTGGTGGCGTTGGAGTGCCGCCACGCGCCATTTCTATGGATATTATTAGTTGAAGAGAGGGTAAAAGTTATTGGGAAGTAAGTTCTATGGGGTTTGGGGTTGGCCGAGGTGATCGGCGGGTCGCCGTTTGACGGCGTAGGCGCTGTTGGGCGCGATGTTGGGGTCTGGTTTTCAGGGTCCTAGCCGGGGTGCCACTTGGTACCGGTCCAAGAAGCGATATGTTCAAGTATATACCGAGCTCGGTCTTTGATCCAACTGCCGATCTGTAATTGATAGATAGATGATATCCTGAATCCTTGAATATCTGACCGTCTATCATTTCCGTTTCTCTTGTGATATTGTCTTCGGAACATGTCAATAGGACTCGGAGTCGTTATTAATCATAAGTGGAGCACGTCTCTGAGCCAAAGCGGAGCATGAAAGGGGCTCGCGCACTCATGGCGTTGACACCAATTGGATATTATTCCAGAATTCTTACAATATGTAGATAGATATCTGCTGGTCGTGTATTAGTAACTTGCAAATAATCGTCGCATGCAGAGTCCCTAGCTTCTCATTGGCTGGACTACCGGTCCGTATCACTCCCGAACTCATTTCTAAATCGCGAGGTGAACGAGGTTCACTTCGTTTCAACTCGTTAGTCCGAACTGTGTCAATTTACCACCTCGCCTCTGCGGCAACATTACACGTAGGCAAAAGAGATATATATTCCGTGATGAGATAGCCAGGCAGTCAATGAGAATGTGTAGAAGTGAAGGGCGGGATGTATGAATTAAGGTTCATCCTCGTCTTAAAGCGTCTAGTCTTGCTTGGAGGCTATCTTCATCCGATGGGCCACCCCCCGCCGTGTCGTCGCCTTTGGGAGAGCCACTTCCGCCAATCGATTCTCCCAGTGCCACCGGTCTGCGTTCCGTCAGTGGTGACGATATTGAGCCGAGACCAGTAGGTGCGTCCGTGAGCTGCAGATGGGTGAATATATGAGAGATAGGGATGGCACCACACTTACTTGCTGAGAAAGGTTGACACCTATTTCGTCAAGAACCTCTCGTAATATCTTATCACCTTCTTCCTCTTCATCTTCAGCATCATCCTCCATAACATCGTCCACAGCGTCCGACATTATTTCTTCCTTCATATCCATCATCGAGCTCTCCTTTTCAAACTCATTCATGATCTTCTGGATAGCTGGGAGGTTTAATCCCCTGTTCATCGATGCCATGGCCTAGAAAAGGTGTCAATGAGGACGCAGGGTTGAACACGTGAAGAATCGCCAAACGCACTCTCGTGGCTCCGCGCATAGCATCTGCCATTTGTTGATTACTTCTTAGAGTCTGTATCCTTAGTCCAACGGCTTGTAATTGCGTTCTCATTTGGTAAAACTTCTGGACATAGCGCCGAGTGCGAACGAGGTCTTTCGCCATCACTTTACATGCGTTCTACTGAAAACATTGAAATTAATACACAACGAGGGAAAGAAAAGTACCATTTGGCCAGCTTTGGCACTCCTCTTAATGTCTGCCACAAGCTTCTTCTCGCTCTGCTCGAGCTTTGACCGTTCGCGGTCAAGCTCTCGTTGTGCTTTGTTCAATGCACGCTGATGTTGTCGCAATCGCTCGGCGGGCGTGACTGTCCTTCCAAATAGAGTTTCCTTTGAAAACATTAGTAGATGTTAAGTGACAATTTGAGAGCGCACTATGATATTCATGACAACTTGCGTCCGGGTGGTGAAGTTACAGCTGCAGGATTGCTGCGCGCCTGAGCTTGGGTCTTGGCGTTAGCTACTACGTATCAATTTAATTACGTAATAATTTCGAGCGACGTTGAATTCAAATCATTCATTGAAAACGTGATCAGACCCTATTCTAGAATCTAGACGTGGTTAAGCCGTCTGCCTAAACACTATCCGTACCTAGTAGTTCTGTACTCGAACTGGACGCGAGGAGTTTGGAAGTTACAAATGGCGGACAGACAGACTTGGATAGTCGATATCAGGTAAACATACCCAAACCATACTTTAGATACAAGTACTGACCACCAAACCACACAGCGCCCCAAACTCGATGCTAACTGGACCACGGCACACTTAAAACATGTATCTAGACGTTGTTTGGACCTCTTGACAGTTCAAGCTACCTCTAGACTTCCACCAAGTCCTCTGTCTTAGTCTTACGCCACATCATATCCAGCCACCTCGGTCGTCCCTATCTGTACCATCTAAGTCGCTCTGTGGTGTCGTTGTTCATTTGACAGTTGCCATGGTCAGCTCATGCTTCCTAGACATGCTGATGCCCAGCGCTGGTATGTTGACATCTCATCTTCACTTATAAAGCTTACATTTTATAGACAAAGACCTTTAGCAAATTCTCGCGTGTGTACTACAATATGGTGAACACTGTCTACTGTGACTGTGACTTCTGGACTTACTTACATGGTTACTGCAGTTCTGATTATCCTCGCCGCTCGATCTGTTGGTCCTTTGTCATGGTGCGCTCAAATTCATCTCAATTAGTGCATATATGCACATAATAATGGTGTACATCCTTGATAGCATCATGAGCATGTGTCAATTGAGCTTGCACCAACATTAATGGACTCAATCTCACGTGTTACGCTCACTATTGTGTTCCTTTCACTGAGTCTTCACGATGCCTCCCAATTGCTTTGTCATCACTGGTGAGGAACGCGGGATGCGATCTATTATATCTTTCACCCAGTCTTCACAGGATATCTGATAAGTAATTTGAGTTTTCTCCGACGGACACACAAGGGAAATGGACAGGGTTGTTTGCACTGCATAGCTGAGTATTCCTGGCACATGACAAGAGACTGCGCAATGTGGCGGTTCAACTAGTAGCGTTTTCTATCTGCGTGTTTCTCGAATAGTGGCCACTACAGGGCGACCTGTTGCACCTCTTGTTACTGCTAATCATACCCTATCTAGATGCAATGCAGACTCGATCCATACCCTGTCCATACCTGAGGAGATATATATTTGATTCCTATCAAGACACAACCTCGAGTATGGTTTATCTGACAGGCCTCAAGCTAGACATTAGTTATTACATCGTACTATGTAGCATCAGCTAGTACCATATCATAATTTATGATGAGGTAGAAGGGGTTGTCCTGCAAACCCTGAAAAATCAAAATGAGTGGCACATCTACTACTATGCAGATGAAGGGAGCGGCGATGATGGTGGGTAAAGGTTAGCGGACATACTATTAGCAGTTGCTTCGAGACCCGTAGCCCCCAACTGTGAGGGTGCGAGAGCGTTAAAGGTCGGACACAACTGATCCCATGTGTTTGGAAAGCAGTTCAGCCATAGAAATTCGGTTTCTTCACAGATAACCTACCTGGCGCTTGTTACATATTTGTGCGGGTTTCAGAAGGACTTTCAGCCATTACCACAGCAAAACCGCTGGATATCAAGGATTAGTAAGCGTCGAATGATGGAATATACGTACGGGTCCTCCTAGACTGGTCGTCGACAATGTCAACTCTACCACTTTGTTAGCCTCGAAAATGATGACGCTCTCGTTTGGCATCAACTGAGTAAGGTCTTGAGCTCCGCTAAGAATTTGGAGTAGGACAGGAACGGTGGGGGCTGCGAGTGAGACGTTATTGATGTAGAAGTTTCCGTCGACGGCGGAAACCTGGAGGTTGAGGTTGATATCAGCCGCTCCATATTCTGGAATGCCAGGAGCACCGGGATTGATCAGGGCATGCAAATTGGTCTCTAGCAATGGGTTCGTGGATGTTGTATTGATCGTAGTCGGGTCGGCCTGCGAGGCGTCTTTGTAGCGTAAGATAGCAGAGGTTGTTCCTCCCTTGAAGGATGCATTGGCCGTATTGGGAAGGTTGGGTATCCAGTAGTTGTCTGTCCGTTGATCAGCTACCAAAACTACAGAGTAACGTTGACTCGCATAAATTTGGAGCTGATCTACTACCAGAGGTTCAGTCAGTTGTCCATCCACTTCGATGACGGTCAAGCTATAGCCATCGATGGAGAACTGGAAGTTTGAATCGCACGACGTTGAAACAAGGCGCAAGTGATACCGCTTTCCCTGCTCGACGCTAATCACAGCGAGATCAAACATTGGTCCGCCTGCATATCGACCGAGTCCATCGACGAGCACAGAGTCAGTGACATTGCCTATGATATAGCGCAAGATGGTGGCCTCAGCATGATACCTAGAGATAATACTTTAGTCGGGCAGACCACCAGCGTTCATGGAACTTATCAGTCGGAAAGTGTAATCACGGTGCTTTCTGGCAATGCATGATGGTCAGAGGATTAATATGAACCAATTTTTCGCTTACCATCGTCGACGTCGTACATGTACGCCCGAGGGTCGTCAGGATCATAAATTACCAGTGGTCCCCTGAGACCATCACACTGTTCCACAGGACAGTCCTTTAATGCGCATGCAAGGTCGGAGTGACACTTGCATATTGAATAGAATAATGACTATGATACCAGAAAGTGCCTGCCTGATTCTGGGCGGAAAAGGAGTGCAAATAAGAGTGGTTCTGCGCAATGGGGCATTGCGTGACGGAGGACGTCCCATTGGCATAGCTTGTCCCATTCTGGTAGATACCGTGCCAGTGCTGCGGCAAACAAGGTTAAAAAGTCAATCGACATCAATGTTGACGATTTGACGTTGCTTACGACACTAGTACTCGTGAACATCGAGGTGTCCGTGAGCTCGCTAGCCACCTCAATGGAAAGTCATCTCCCTATTATGAGGTCAGTGCTGGTGCACGACGAGAGGGTCGATAGAAGCTCACCTTCTACGCTGAAATCAAGGGTCCAGGGAACACGCCATTTACAAGAGTCGCTCTGTTAAAAAATTAGGAGCGAGGTTTGAAATCATGGCGGTAGACTCACGAGCGTTCGAAGCCATTGGGAGCGATGACCTTATTGCCTACGGTAAGTTTGGTTTGGGAGCCGAGCTCACTGAGATAACGGGTAGGATTGTGAACGAGATATTATAGCTGCAGCATTGATCGATGAAATACAAGAAGCGATTAGAATTGGAGTAAACATCACGATAGAAAACGCTCTCGCCAGGAGAGCAGTGGAATGAAGAAAATGAAGATGATGAGAAGACACATCTCTCTTCGCAGCGTTTATCCTGGAGCGGTAGATAGCCTTGAGAGTGTTTTTTCGAGCGATGATCACCGGCGTGTGATTACGCGGCAAATAGTTGCTCAATGACTACTTCGCCCCGTGCATTTGAATATAAACAGCATGCCCAAGAGTCAGAATCAGCAGCAGCCAGCCAACGCGTGGAAGAATTTTGGCGTGCCACGAAGACACGACTCAGACACAACATGAGATACCTCAGGCGGCCAGAACAGCCAACTGACCCATAGCAGTCCTCGTGCTGGGTTGTGAGAGCGGTCCGATGCGATTCTCCAATCGCAGGAAAGAAGAATGCAGATGGCTGGTAGTGACCTCTCGTCAAGCGTACCATGCGAGAGAATCGGATTAGAGTGTTTGGAAGGAATGATCACACGCTGAAAGAAAGCTCAGTGCTGGCCTTTTCGTGTGTCTTGAGAGCGATAAACGCAGATATCGATGACATCTGTGTTAAGCATCGGTTTGAAAAAATGGAACTGGCGAAATTGCGGACGCTTTATTCCAGTATCTGACCGATAGTGTCGCTGTAATAAGTGTGAGTAGCGTATCTTGTCAGAGCACGGGACCACGGAACCACGGGACCAGGCAGTGATCGGGGAGGATGCAGGAATAGAGCATGCTGTGCCTACCCTGCGGCTTCATTCCCTTTTAGTCACGATCAAGAGCTTGCTGTATTATAGACAGGCTTGAGTTATATCGATGCTAAAGTCAGACTTAGTACCTGTTTAGACGCACACGTCAGCTTGCTGCAGACCTGAGATACTGACAACGGTCACTTCTTGTGTGGTTATTACAAGATTGCGCACACTGGCATTGGCAGACTAAATTGTATGGGCCAGATTAGTTCGCAACCAAAAAAAACCATTGGATGCATGTCTTGATAGAGACCTGAGGGAAAAAAAATGATCAGAATGACAATTCCGGGACCGTCACCCCTCACGGAGTGGGACGTCAAGTCAATGTTAACATTGCGCCTTCCATTAAAAGAGGAATTACCAACATCATTTTGCTGTTGGAAGTAAATAAAGCATTGCAACGCCAGTATTCAGAGCAGAGACTCTTCGTCGATGATTCAATATTGAACTCATGCAATGGCTTTGCCTAAAATGGGACGGGAAGTTGGCATGCAAAGCCTATATATCGTCAACAACTTCAACAAGTGCAGTGAATGTCGTGTTAGTTAAAAAGGTGTAACAACCTAGGATTGGGGCCTGGTCGCCGCGGTAGGTGCCCATCAGGACCTTGGCGGCGGCCAACTGCGCACAGAACGCTCAGGTGTCTCGCCACAGAAATTTGAAAGGTGAGGCGGATGATTGTTGCGACGCGATCATAAGGGGTATTCCGGCTGCAGTGACCACGAAGGACTTATCAGCAATGAGAATCCGTCCACGGCTGCCAGGTTATGGCAGTGACGCTGACTGCAGAATGAATCGCGCGACCGCAGACAGTCACAGTTCAGTTTTTGTTAATTCTTGAAGTCGCCTGAAATAACCATAACTGAGGAAGTGAGCAATGGCCCTTGGCCCACGCTGTTGTCCACTTTGGCGTTTGCCACATGTCAGTATTTGAGATGGCAATGATGTGGCAGCATGCGCAGCACTGAAAACCACTATGTAGATTCATACAGACGGTTAGGGTCCGAATAGCGCGCCGTTTCATATGCACATGTTTTGGACCAAACAGATGACCTTCAAGGGCCTGTATCCAGTTTGGGAATAATCTGGATATGGCCATCATCTTCTCGTTTCCGCAGTGAATTAACATCCTATGGAGCCTGATGCAGTCGGACTGCATTGTGATCTAACCTCCTGCCACGAGGTTGACTTCCTACCAATCAAGTGCCACTGTAACAAGGTGTTTTGTAGGTACCACATCTCCCCTGATAAACACACTTGTGCGTCACTGGATCATGATGGGCCTTCCGAGGGACGTGCCCCCGTCGTAAAACGCCAGAGATGTGCTCTTGGAAATTGCGAGAAACCGAGCCTTGAAAGTGCTATCAGCCAAGAGGCTAACGTCGAAACGAAACCAACTTCATCTACGGCATGCCCGAAATGCCTTCTGTCATTTTGTATCGAGTATGTCTTCCGGAATCATTTTATACAAGAAACTCAACCGGCTAGTCATCGTCATCCAGATTTGCACTCATGTACAGGTCTGCAGAAGCAGGAGTCCGATGAGAAGAAACATGCTCAAAGTATCCTTGCACGCCATTTTTCCAATCCACCTTCACATACTCCCCTGGCCATTCGACGCACAGTGACGCTTCCTACGGACCCAAAGAAGTTGGCTCAGATACAGAAAGTTACACTCATGAAGATGCGTCATAGTGCTATTGCAGGGGACCCTAGGGACAAACCATCCACCGTACCTGTCAATGAACGCCTGCACATCAAAGCTCGATTGGAGGTGACTGGGATGCCCATGCAAGAACGCGTACTTTGGTTCAGGAAGGTAACATCCATCTTGATGGGCTTATATGTGGATTATCTCACTTTTGGCTTGTAGTCCGTGGTCACGGGCAGGGCATTGGACCTGATCTCGGCGAATCTTGGGGTTCCCTCCTCGTATCAAACAGTTAGTGAAATTTGCCCAAGAACACGATCTCGATAACCTCATCGTTCTGTTAGCCGTTATGCCTCATAGAGAAATCAGTCTCAGATCCTTCAAGTTGCTCACCCCTCCAGAATGATCTGTTGTTGTCTGAGCAAGTGGAGGACACTTGTACTGTCATGTTGTCGGCTCTTCCTTATAGTCGAAGTGATTGATCACTGAATGTCGTGATACTCGTCTTGATCTCAATTTGAATTTTACGCTGGATTTGTCCACAAGTCTATTGAATCGTAACAGTGCCAGCACCAGCCCCCGACTTGACTGACATTCCTTTGTGATTCCGCTGTCAATTCATGATGTTCTTCGCCTTGTAGATGTCCAGTCTTGCTAACCCAAGTAGTAAGTATGACATGACAGAAATCTGTTGCAGGTTCGAAACCCGCCTTACTTTGGATTGCCGTGGTGAGACCCGGACACCAGACAGCGATGTCAACAGAGAAGTCGACGCAAAACTCTAGAACGCTCCATAACGAAACGCTTGAGACACCATGCGCCATGCAGGAGCGGCCTACTGAAGCATACATAACGAAAAAGGGGGCTCAGCGAGAACCGAATGACAAACAGACAACTTGATGTCGATTGGAGATGGGAAACCGATCGTGTTCGACAAGAGCTCCACTAACGTTGGGAGTCGGGGATGCCATATACATAAACGGAGTTGACAAGGTCCTGAAGTAGCTAGAGCTATATCGATGGGCTGTGTAAGGTATATTATAGGAACGTCGGGTCAGGCGCAGGCGAAACATCAAGCTACTAATGCAGCTAATCTGCGTAGATGAGACACATTGAGGTACGCTGGAACGTATGTCTCCAAGCCAGACACCTCACGAGGCCAGGGAGGCTCAAATGGACCGACCTCTTCCGACTCGGGAGACAATAGTAAATGGTCGTTCCGATCATTTGCCTGAACACGCGAAGCTACTACACGTAGAATCTCAGGAGAAATGGGGTTCTGGAGGAGTCAGCGAAGAAAATAATTGCAGAATGTGTGTGTCATACCTCATATTCTGCCACGTAGTAGTTCGTACACATTCGCTGTATTTGCATCGGACTTAGCATCCAGCAAACATCATAGATGATCTCTATATCTGCGGGCGTTGCCTGTTCAACGAGTATAAACCAACGTTTGACCCAATGTAAGAGTAAGACGCACCTTCTTCAGTTGCAGGAGTTTTATGGCCTGCATCAAGTGTTCTAACTGGAGCGTCCCCTCGGGCATGTCGTGAGACTTGCACCACTCTTCTATACGTGTGATATTATACTGAATTTGCATGGCTGAGATAACTTGATATCAATGAAACGATGCTGTGCGATGGATAGGGACACACCTCGTTTCCAAGAGGAGAAGTTCCTTCTCATTAAAAGGTCATTAAAGCTCGTGACGCCGACCAGCTTTAGGAGTTCAGCCATGACTTGTTGCACCACTGAATCTTCCATGTAATAACTCTTCAGACTCTTCCAAACTATGTTCAGAAGGTTTAGGATGTCGTCCATGCTATATGCTGGCTGGCTGTTTGTATTCAGGAGACGATTGAATAGCCGACCACCGCCATCGCTCGTCGTGAACCCTGGAAGAGACTGGCTCTCTATCAAAGCAGGTACGACCATCTTCGCAAGGCGCTTCTTCGTCTCCAGCATCCACGTGTGGTATATGTTATACTCCAAGCTGCCAAGGTCGTGCTTGACGACCGTAACAAGCCGTTCGTAATCATTCCAGTCAAACTCTCGGACAGCATTCTCTTCTCCAGGGCCAATACCCTGTAGCATGTCGCTCTCAGCCACATAGATGAACGACAACATCTCATGGACATTCGAGAGCCAGTAAATTCCGGGTATAATGGAATCTTCACCGTTGAATGACTTCAGGGTCCAACATGTTTAGCAAATGAAAACACTTGATGATAAATAGTAATCTTACCATCACATGGGCTTGAATGGACTCCATAATGTTTGCCAAAAACCGCTCGCTCTCCGGTATCAACCCATATTTCCACATCTCATTGGTGACAAGACTAATGAGATTCGCCGGGAAAAGGATCTCCTTCACAGCCGACGGGTTAGTGAGACTTGGTGCTGGAATCTTCAGGCCTCTGATGAGACCAACAAGAACATCCTCGTCCAATCGCTTGGTATCTTGCATAAGCTTGATCTTCTCCTCAGCGAGGTCATCATACGAGCGAACATCTGCCAGGCCGTTGTTGCGCATGCGAAGGACATTGTCCTCGCCGTTATATGCGACAGATACTGCGCGATGGTTGAGAGCTTGATTCTTCTTGACATCGAGCATGAGTTCATCAACGGACGTGCGGGTTTCGGCCGGGCTGAGTTGAACAACGCCTGCGGAACTGTGTCTTCGTTGGTGACGATTACTCGAGGGCGGGACAAGGGCTGCGCCGTTGGAGAGACCACCAGAATCAGGTATACGCAACGCCGGAGCAAAGGTAGGTGATACAGGAGCTTCGACCCGAGCATTCCTTGTGAGGGCGTTGTAGGCATTGGCTCGGTTTAGCTGCTCCCGTAGGCTACTGACTTCATTCTTGAGAGTCAGTATAACGGAGCCATCCTCGACAGAGCGTGAGGGGGTATGAGCAAAGGCCTTCTCTTGGAATTGCAGCTTCTCTGCCTGCGCAACGAGCTCGTCTGAAAGCTTTTGCATTATCGCTTCCTTCTCCGCGACCTTAGCAACAGCCTCGTCCAATCGCTTCTCTACATCAGCCTTTGCTAAAAGAAGCTCATCACGGCGTGATAGTTCAGCCTCGGCTGTTGATAGTGCAGTCTGAAAGGACTTCGCTTTTGTGTCGACCTCTTCGTATTTCGATGTCCACTGCTGAATCTGTTTCTCCAATTCGCAAAGCTGCGCCTGTAGTACCTTCTTCTCCTCCGTGCGTGTCTGAAGCGTTTGAGTGAGTTCTACTACCTTGTTCTCTAACCGATACGATATCTCTTTGAACTTTGAGACTGAACGGGCCTCAGCCCTGAGAGCCTTCAGTTCTTTCCGAGCGAGCCGTCGACGAACACAAGATTGCAAATAAATGACACGCTTAATGTCCGTCTTGTGACTGCGACGATAGAGCCTAGGGGAAAAAATTGGTAAAATATTATCACTTGACTGTTTCTGACGTACACTCCACGGAAAAGAGATTGCAAGAGAATAGCAGCATGTGAAGTCTTCTTCTCTCTGTACAGCCGTCGGGCTTGGGCACCGCGGATACCTGTGACGAGAAATTTAATATGTTGTTGTACGAATTCACAAAATACCTACGGCTTTGGAATAATACGATAGATTGTCTGGTTTGCAAGAAATTGGACCTCTGAATGAAACGGCGAACACCAGTTTGAAGACGTCTTGCGGCAAAATCTCTACGAATGCTCTCCACGAGTCTACGGGCCAATATACCACGCCACCAAGTTTGGATTTTGATCGTAGCTCGACGCAACTCCTGGTATTTCTTTACGGCCATGCGCCTGCGCATGTTCTTCTGCACAATCGTGACGAGAGCATTGAGCTTTTCTGAGCGGAGGGACTCCAACGCTGCGAGCATACCGGCCCTGAAAAAAATCTTTGTAAGACCACTCTGATATTTGTCAGGGTCGTTGATAGTTCTCTCAAGAATAAGTGAGCAGAGAGGCTTGAGTTCCATGTGCTGTATTATTGGCTGCCAATCTGCTGAGGGCACCAGCATGTAATACCTGTGTATTGATCAGTAATGAATAATGCGGAAGGCCGCAGTAGTGATCATACCGCTCAGCAAACTCTTCATAAGTCCAACGTGAAGGGTATCCAGCACAAGAAATACGTATGGTCTCGAGAACACCACAAGCACGCAACTGACCCAAAACTTGAGACGGTGTGAACTCCCAAGGTCTTTTAGCTTCGTTGGGTTTGATGCACCGGATATAGTGGACGTTTGTGATGCTGAGGGTATCCATCAGGGTGATCAAGGAAGCCTTAAAGATAGAGCCTTGCGTGGGCTTCCGGATGGCAGCTCCTGGTCTCTTGGGGCCGGTGTTCGCTGCGACCAACGATGAACGACCGGGATCAGGAATTATGGATGAACGACGGGAACCTCCACTACCGGAATCAGACAGAGAGGGTGACCCGGGGTGTGGAGGATCGGCTACTTTCACAGATCCGAGGGCAGCGTCGAGAACTTCCTTCAAGAAGGGGTTCTTCGTGGATGCTAGCAAAAGCATATGCTCATCAGGAACTGTATCGCGGTTCTTCTCGAGGAATCCTTCGACTTCGTACGTGACATCATGGGCATAGTGGGCAATGGTGAACGCAGAATTTCCAAACCGAGGTTTCTTGAAGACGTTTTTGTTGGCAGGCTTCAGAAGCTGGGTGCTCAGCTTTTGAAGGAAAGATGCGTCACTGCCAGACGGTAAACGCGACTCTTCATCAAGGAGCGCGAGGACGCCCAGTTTCCCTTCGATCACATCAATGCAAGGTTGGTTGTCTGAAAAGTCGATGAAAGTCCAGTTAATCTCTTCCTTAACGTACTCCTCTTGCTCGAGTTTGAAGACGTGAGAATTGAACTACGATATTGATATCTTAAGCCATGAACACATTGCAGATACTTCACGCTCACCTCTTGTTGTAATTTCTCATTGGCATAGTTGATGCTGAACTGCTCAAAGGAATTCTGTAAACAGTTGAGTGTCGTGAATTGACTGAAGGATGGGATGCAACCTTCTGAAAATGTTCAAACCCGTAGATGTCCAGCACACCGATGAACATCTCAGCTCGCTCGGCGGCATCTCCATTTTCACCAGCCAAACTTTCATTGACGATGGCCACCAACCACTCAAATAAGCATGCATACACAAACTTCGCCACACTGTCCCTAACAACTGTCGCCTGTGCGGCGTTGAGTGCGGTGACAATTTTTTCTGAGCGCGTGATGATCTGCTTCTTGATGGTCCACTTCTTGAAATCGGCGAAGTTCACTCCCAAGAAGCGAGTAGCAAGAAGAAGGGCAGGATCTGCGTCATCTATGGCCGAATCGGTTCGTGTTTGGGTAACCTTCACGTTGCCCAGATGGAGCAGTGCCGAGAGAAGTCGGAAGACGGCCCACTGTTTCTCTACACTGATTCCAACTGTCGATAATGCCTGTTGCGTTGCCCGGAATTCCTCCGCATCATCAACTCCACTTATCGGTGTCGAAGTCGGTCCTCCTTGTTTCAGATAGTGAAATTTAGTCACGTCAGTGTCAAGGCCAA